CTGGCAAGCAGCCGCCCACCCAACGCACAGAAAACCCTGCCGCTGAGGATGGGAGAACAGCGTTTCTGTCCCAAAACAGGATGGGAGGCGAGGCTGGAGCCCCCCCATTCACCCCACAGCTCCCCAGAGGCCCGAGTTGAGCCCCAGGATGAAAGGGAGGGCTTGTTCAGAGGTCCCGGGGGAGCAGCAGCACCAAAGGCTTCTCAGTGAGCAGAGACACCAAGGGCAGACAGCCCCAGCCCCAGCCATTCCCACCTCCCCACTCGCTGCCAGGCCCTTTCAGGCTGGGAAGTCCATCACTTAATTGACTAAGAAAATAAACGAAGACAAGCCAATGTACACAGGATTTCCAGAAAGCTGGGCTGGAGCTGAACAGCGCTGAATACACAGCTTTACTTAACAGGCTTTGCAAAAACAAGCCCCGAGCGTCCCTCCCCTCCTGCATCCCAGCAAGAAGCCAGCCGAAGCCAAGGGGGGTTGCTGGATCTCTCCCCAGCCACATTTAACCCCCTTCTGCTCTTGCCCTGGAGAAAAGTTACAGTCTTTTTGCAGACTGAATACTATTAAGGAAAAAAAAAAGTGAATCCCCTAAATAAAGTAGTTCCCTAATTTATGGAAGGTTCAGCACAACTATTTGTGATGACCAGCGTCCTAGAAAAGAGATTACCCACCAAATCCCACTCAAATTAAAAAAAGCAAGATCTGTTTGAGTGTAAATGGCCAGGAGCAAGTTATCTGGTTAAATGTCAAAAATATTCAATGAACTGGGATCAGTGACTGAAAGTTCAACCTGGCCTCCAAGGCAGCTGGGGTGGTTTGGGGCTGTTTTGGAGAGGCACATGTCTAAATCGGGTTATTTGGGATGCACAAAATGCCCAAGCATTTGCTTTTAATTATGTTTCTGCAGAAAGACAATCCTTGTTCTGCTCAGCCTAAGAAATAGCCAAAAGCTTGGTACATTCCCACAGCTGACTCTGGGAAATTTGTCTGACTTTTCTAGTGGCTTTACTGGAGCACTTATGATTAATCCTTTCAGCAGCATTTCCTTAAAAAGTCTAGTGAATGACTTCGCATTTTTAGGGTGTCCTTCCAAGATGAACCAGGCTGAAGATAGCCTCAAAACGGGGAGACATCGGCATAACTCAGATACTCTTTTATAGCACATTTATAGATCAAACCACTGTCTACATTCACTCAGCGCCCCACCTTCACCCCCCTTTCCCTCAGAGTTTACTGTAGCTCTGCTCGTACGGTTCCTGTAAACAAAGGCGATTTACCTGTGGTGTTACCTACTCGGAGGTTACTTCTGCCCGTGGCTCCATCTGTGGATTACAGCACCTTCATTTACTCCATATTGCTGCAGTTCTACCCCCTGAAAGAACCAACCTCGGCAGGAGAAGACTCCAGCTCCTCTGGTGCCCCCAAACCACCGCTTCCCCCTGCTCCAAGCGCCGGCAGGTCTGCCTGCTCTGACCCACCCCTGGCCAAAGCTGAATCTGCACAACTCCCAGGGGTGCTTGCACCCCAACACCCCTGGCTGGTTTCTTTTTTTTTTTTTTGCATCGGTTGGAGGCGCAAGGCCAGCCCGCACCTTCTCCCAAGCAGGAATTGCTTCTCAGAGACCAAACGTGAGGCAGTTTCTGGTGTTTTGTTATGAACCAAGTTCCCTCTGGGAGCCAGCTGACGGGATCCTGCCTCTTCATAACCCCACAGCCCCAGGGCAGGGAGCCCAGAGATGCCTTCACCCCTGCAGCTGCAGGACTGGAGGATGCTTAACCCTTCGTCCTGCCCCACGCTTAAGGGCACAGGTCAGTAATAGTGTGATTTGAACGTGTGGTAGCGAGTGTGTGTCGCTTGCGGCGAGTTGGGAAGGGAGCAGTTGGGGAGCAGCACAAGAAGGAAGCCTCCCATGTCCCTGGGAAGGCTCACGTCAAGGCTCACGTCAAGGCTCACGTCAAGGCTCACGTCAAGGCTCACGTCTGCAGGAAACCTCTTGCTTTTAACAGCCCCCTGCTGCGAGTGTGCCCGTTCAGCCAGCGCCTGTGGTCACCCACCAGCTAAAACGAGAGTAACCAGCAGGGTTCATCCTGGTGTCCTCTGATGAGTGTCTCTTCTCTAGAAACAAAACCCAAGTCTCCAGCACCAGGCAGCTCATCAACACACCGGAGATGTAACATCTTGCAAACGCAACGGGCAGGCTCCTTCCAGACCTAGATGGAAGCCACGTCCTGCGAGACCTTCACTGGAGAATGAGATCAAAAGTGACAGGGGAAACAAAAATAAGCTGTTTCAAACCATTTTTCTTCAGAAGTCTCTTCTCCCCAAGCTGTAATACACACTCTTTGCTTGGCACACGATGTTCAGGTGCTCTCCTTGCATCCTGCAGCACTGCGCTAATCATGAGATTACCCGGATACTTTATTTAGAGAATACTTTATTAGTTTCTGTAATCAAACCCATGTAAATAAGACCGTACATATTTAATACAGTGCGTTACCCCTGTACAAATGGAAAAAAAAATTAAGTTTAACATTTCTAGACCAATATGGCTGTTAATTTCTGTACAATGCCAACTCACACTACAAGTGGGATACTTTTTTCCAAAGTTGACATCACAGCTAAAGTTTCCAAAAATTCAAATTATATATATATTTATATAAAAAGATAACCAATAGCAATTCACTAGGCATCAATAGCAGCAACAGCCTTTCCAGCTTCTGCAGTCATTTGAACAAAATTATACACATTAGACTTTCAACTCTTCCTTCCAAAAAATGTAAAAAAAAAAAATCCCAGAAAAAAACAGCAAATTCTGCTACTGATGTGGTACCTGGTGCTTTTTATTAGCTTTTTCAATCATTGTCTGGAAAAAAACCTCTAGAATAACATTATTAAAAACAGCTCCAGTATAGCACAGTCACTACTACATATCATAAGCAGGTACAGGATATCTTACATTCACAGAAGTATCGTACAGTACTGTCCTACAGCTATAATACTAGAGGATACAATTAAAAAGGCATTTATTTGACTCAATTCTACTTTCCAGCACGCTGTGGGCAAGGAGGTGGTGCGACGCAGCTCTGATATAAAGAATGCACCTTTTAGATAAAACTCTCTTTAATCCAATAAGGTTGCTTTTATTCTCGTGGCACAGTTCTAAGTGCTCGTTGCTGTATACAGACATAAACTGGAAACCGTTTAAAGATCACTCGCATCATATAAAGATAGCTGGACAGAGGTGAACAGAACAAATCTGACTATTGATGCAATAAACCTTTCAGCTCCAGAGGTGAACGACTGAGGGGAGGGGAGCAGGCGTAGAGAACACAGGTGGCCAAGTAGCATTTCCATACGGTGATCTAAATACAGTATATTGTCATCCAAGAAGCAGCAGCCAGCAAAGCACTGCCTTCAGAGGGAAAGTCAACATCATCCACGTTACTCTGCATTACGTTAGGTTAGATGTCACATGGCAAAGGCAATTTTGCCAGCTGTATGAATCCCTCTGTTTATTACAAGATAGAAGCTTCTTAAGTCACTAAAAGCTCAACACGCATTACTTGGCCCAGCACCATCTTCAGATCTGCATGTTCTCATACTCATGGGTTTATAAAAAGGTAAATAGCAGCTGAAGATCAGAGCCTGAAGAAAATAAGAGTATTCGTCTTGTCAGCTAGGAACATGCCTCCCCGACCACCTTCTTCCCCACCATTGACACTTTTCAATTTTTTTTTACTTGGGGAAGCATACAGGTGTGTAAGCCAAAACACGTGCACACGTGTAGGACGTGCACACACCAAAAGCAGCCGTCATGCTGTTAAGAGAAGATACAAGCCCAAAGAGCCTGGGAGCTCAGTTGGATACGCAGCAGAGTTTGCATCCATAACTGCTGATAGCTTCTATGTCCCTTTACGCTGTTGAGAGCCCTGCGGGCAGGGACGACTGTTGTCTCATCCTTTGGGCTACAAATTCATGCTGCTGGCATCTCACCCACCCTCCCCTCTTCCCCCACCTCCACAGAAACACAGCCTCTAAGATTTTGTTTCTTCGGTTTTGATTGCCTGAGGTTTGATTGGTCCAGTTCTAACAGGTTTTGTTGCTGCAGCAGGTGCAGGGGTAGGCTTTTCCTCGCTTTTGTCCTGGCAGACTCCTGAAGAGTCAGCAATTGCCTCGGTGGGTTTGCTCCCGTTCTCGTCCACTTTCTGCGCTTTGCCTCCTATGGGTTTGCTCTGCTGCTGCTGCTCAGAAAAGAATCTCTGGGTGGACTGAAGTACCTCTGCTCTCTGCTTTGCCTTAAGAAAGGGAGAAAATAGGTTTACTGAAGAGAGGGCATTGGAATAAGAGTGACTTCACAAAAGTATTTCCTAAATGAAAGAGGAAGGACTGATTGCAGTGGCCAGGCTTTCCTAGAAAGGCAGTGTCCACCCAGTTGCTTCCCAGATGTTACCACATCTAGGCACTTGGCTCCTCAGTAGTAGCTTAACATCATGCCTAGGCTTCCCTTGCTCTTCCTAATCTTCACCTCAGAAAAGAGGATCAAGGACAACAGTTTGAAGCATTACCCAACATCTTTTTATGCTACTATTACTGCAGAGCTTGAAAAGTATAAACACTGCCTACAGTAGGCTCAAACTGAAGCTCCGCTCCTCGGCAGAAGTCAGATGTGACTAGAAGGCGTGCGTGTCCGCACGCTGCCCGTGCCCTAACACCACTGTCAGCACTGAGGGCCGTGCCAGCTGTCATTTCTCCTGTCGCATGGTCTGGACTTCTTGAGCGCAGGGGTCATTATCACAGCAGCAGATTCTAGTCTGAGCATCTGGATTTTTTCCCCCCTGTTATTCTAGACACAGACTTCAGAGTCTCTAGTAAGGATGCAAGTGAACCAGGTTCAAGGTTGCATTATATGTAAGCTGAAGCCTTATCTGCTTCCCACTCAAAGCGGGCACTCATTCCAGGCTACTGCCTGGCTTCCTTCAAATCCCTCCTCTGAATCCTACCGGTAACCTGGACCTGTGAAATTCAGCCTTCGTGACTACACGTTTCAGTTACAGTTTTACACCGGACCTTTAGTTTGTCAGTGAAGCGCTCTGCGGACCAGATACTTCAGACCAAGCACTTGGCTTTCCTGCCCAGACCCAGGCAAAGCAGGAATTGCCTTAAGAGTTCAATCTTCTGGAAGCTGCACTATTAAGCCCAATGCAGTCAAACGCCTTTAAGACTAAAAAGGCCTATCCTAACACAAGGATTCTCAACTACTATACAGACACCAAACCTCCGAGTAGTTCTCTAAGTATTTTATGCTTTTTTACAGAAAATGGGGCCAGGGGGACAAAACAGCAAAAGCCTGGAACAAAAGGTCTTGGCTTTAATACTCTGTAGTTGCTCCAAGTAACTCAACCAGCAACAGAATAGAAAACAAACCTGTGAACTCTGGTGTGCAGGACTGCAGCAACAGTCTGATTTTACTGGAGCCAGATGGACACCTGAAATCTTTTGCATAGATTTCAGTCGTCCCCTGAGGTTAAGGCCAGAAGGCTGGGTGACTTGATCACAAGCAACCAAGCGTGACAGAATAACTCACATTCTTCTGAACAGTGTTTGCAGGGAGATTTGGAAAACCAGGACTGCGTATTAATATTTGCTACGACTGGCTAGATTCAATTAATAATATAGACTCAAGACAATATATTAAGTACCATCTGCTAAGTCTACAGCTAGGATAAACTGGTGGTAGAAAACTAAATGGACCAAATACCTAGAATTTAAGGGTAATCAATTCTCCTACAACCAGACATAACCAGGAAAAAACCACTCTTTTGCTTTTATAGCTCAATGCACGGGCTACAGCAAATGACAGTAGATGAAGGAGCTCTTTAGTGCCATCTATTCATATAAGCAACTTACTCTGCGAAAAACAGGCTAAGTGTACAACTGCGTCCCTACACAGATGCCCCATATTGCAGTCCTGACTTGCTAGGGAGAGTTTGCCTCAACCTGAAGGGTCCCAAAGTGCTTTAACAAGTTAGACGACTCTCATCACCCACTACGGAAATACAGCCACCTCTTCTGTGGAGTGTACCATGTTACTGCATTCTACCACACAGAATTAATCGCAGGCATTTCAAACCACCGGGAAATGAATCTCCAGAGTCACCAAGGAACGAGGCTGGCTGGTACAGGAGGGCTCATACTGCTGCTCAGAGCTGGGGAGGCAGATGTGAAATGATAGCTAACAGCCAGGTTTATAGGCTTCATCACTCACTCAAAAAAATCCAGGCTCTTGAAACCTAGTTGTCAGATTGCCTTTGACAGCAGTGGCAGCTACACAACTGCTGACCACAAGACCACTTCAGAAAGGAAGCTCCCTACAATTTTTTTAGTCTAAAGTTCTTATAAAAAACCCAGGGCTTGGAGAATATCTGTGTTCAGCCGTTAAAGGCCTGGCTACTGGCTTTGGGTCCAGAGGCATTTTAATCAAGACGTGATTTGCAGGCACATTCCTGCCCTACAAGCTGTCAAGACTGAACTGGTGTTAACAGCACTGCTGTTCAAATACTAACCTTCATGTCTCGTTCAGCCTTCATCGCAGCCTGGGCCTGATTGCCTCTGGCTCCAGATACTGATCCACAAAGACCTCTGGCCACACGCGGTAAATGAGGGTGGCTCATAAGGCCTGTGGTCATCTGAGACGGCATCTGACTATGCAGTACTATTGGCAGCCTCTGAACAGGCGCTGGGAAGGTGTTAGTATATGGGGCTCTGACCAATGGAGGGAGCAGGTTAGGCTGAGAGAGGATCTAAGTGGGGGAAAAACAACAAAAAGAGACATTTTGCAATTAGAAAACTGCCAACTAGATTGCACGTTGGCATTATCTTGAACGGGAAAAAGTTGCTGCTCTGCTGTCAAACTGAAGTCAAGAAAATAGGCTTTTATGTTAAGAGAGGCCATGCTTGAACCCCAGAAAAAAACCAGACCTGTAGTGCTGCTGTGCCTGAAAGTAGTACCAACGACTTCAAACCAGCATGTAATAAGGGGGAAGACCCATGCAAGGCAGTGGAAGAGTCACTAATGAAAGGCAGCCCTGGAAAGGTAAGGTAGTCTCTGCTAGTGGCAACCCAAAAATCACATCTCAAGTCCTGCAGTCAGACACTCCAAATGCTAAAAGACAGACAGAAATATCCTGTGTTTTTACAGAGGCTACATTTCCCTAGGAGCCTGGCTACAGTCACCTGTAACAGGGATGCACCACCCTCGTAGGCTGTGCTCCCTGGAATGCCAGAAGCAACTCAAACCCTTTGCCATCAGTTCTGCATTGTATAGACTGTGCGACCTCCAGAGATCCTTTCCAACCCAAACTGCTCCATCAATACTTCAGAGCTGCATCTCAGACAAACGACTGCAAATCTCCTTTATCTTTAAACATTTAAAATATGCACTGGGACCCTTCTCAGACACGAAGCTTCTCCCCTTCCCCAACCAAATGCAGGATGAGGTGCATTACAGCTGCATGGGGAAGCCAGTAGAACAACTGTCTGTTCTGCATCATTCACCACTTGTATTAAATTCCTCTGTGTGCACAGAACTCTCAAAATTAAACACACCACAAAAACTGCACTACTAGTTAGCCAGATCAGAGAGGGTTTTTTTTTTTTGCTTTGATCTTGAAATTAGTTTTCTCACACCATTTCATTTGTATCTCCCCGTGATAAAGCCTGAGGAAACACAACTGAGTTACAGAGTCACCAGGTCATACAGAGAAACACATTTGTTCATAGGAAGCCACCAGTCACCTACCTGTGGTGCAAACTGTGCAGGGAACGGCTGTGTCATTCTCACAGCGGCAGTTGCTGACTGAAACTGCTTCTGGTAGACAATGCTGTTCATTTTATTGGACTGATTGTTAGGACTTGTAGAACTGGCCCTAAAGAAAAGAACACCAGTTAGAATCACACTGTTCTCATTCAGAGGATGCTTCTGCCTTTATTACAACTTAACTCGAAATTCAGCACTGGAGGGGGGGAAAAAAGAATCTCTTAGAGAAGCTGGTATCAGATATTCTTCTGTATCTACCATTAATTTCAAATGCAAACAAACTCAGAACTTAAGAATACAAAGAGAAACCATAATCAGAAATATTCAGCATACGGAAATATTCCAGGGTAAGTCTGTATGGAAGAGACCTTTCCCAAAAATATTTGTAACACATACACCGATGTTAAAAGTGTGTTCCCCTTCCCATCCCTGCTATCTTATGTTCAGTCCCACCCCTTTACACTGTTTGCTCTATCACGTTAAGTTCAGAGCTTGCCACAACAGGCATTAAGCATGTGCAGCTGCTTCCACTCTGACCTGTTGTCAAATGTTTCAAAATACACTCGAACAGATTTCAAGAATTCACAGAAAACACTCTCCCCCTGTTTTATTTGGCTAAGAACATGACCCTCCATTAAAACTTTTAAGAGGTGTTAAATCACCATGAATTAAATGAAGCCTGAAAGTTATCTGGGGGAAGAGCACCAAACAGCCCCCAGAGAAAGAGAAAAGAGGGAATAGCCTTCTTTAGGAAATAGAGCTTGCTTTACAGAGAGCTCTTAGGCAGAGCGTGTGGGTGATACGCTTACTTAACCTACAACGAGCATCAGGGCACCAGTGGCAAGGAAGCCAGCTAAACTCATCACACATCAACGTTTTGTAAGCCCAAAGAAATCTGTTTAGTTTTCACTTTGAACATTTTGAAATCTGTTATGCTTTTGTCGATCTTCCCAGTACCTCTACACTTTAGAGCAAAAGCTTATGACAAGCCCTGCTTTGGCTGCTAGGAGAGGAGACATCTCGTGTAGAATCTCTACACTCTGCTACAGTGAAAGCCACCAAATACAGTAGCTGCTATGCATGGGAATGCAGCTTTCAAAAATAAAACTATCTTGTAGCAAAGTTCCATTTTCAAGTTCCTTCAGCTCACTAATAACTTCATCCACAAGCAGCCCCATAGGTTTACCATGAAGTGCATCTGCAAGATTTTGTTAATTCTGTCAATTAACCAAGCAAACTTCCAAACAGCTTACTAATTTCACTTCTGAGAAGCTTACAGATCTTGCAACGATTCTTAGTTCTCCAACAGAACGGTTGCCACAACCGCAGTGTAAGTCTTTAAATGTTTTTACTTCAGGCATCGCAATTAAGATGAACAGTCTTACAGTTTTATCCCAAAGTACATCGTCCCTGCCACTTCTGTGCTTTCCTGGTACAATCCCAGATCATTTTACATGACTTGTTTAGTTTAGTTTTGTTTAATCAAAAAAATATTTTTAACGTTTTAGTTCAGAGCAATGTACTTCTTGGCAACTATAGCAGATCTGATGACCTACTGGAATGCTGCTTTTAAGCTAAGATTAAGCATCATATTTTACATTAGTAGCCCCTCACCTCATACCTTTCAGAATTGGCTGCTCATGCGTGACTACATTTTCTACCTTTGATTTCAAGGAATTTTGAGCTTAAGAGAGATTTACCGGAAGGGACTGGAGGTTGGAGTAGTACTTCTACCAGTAACTGGTGGTGTTCCAGGTTTAACATCAATGCCACCTCCAAACGCCTTCAGGTCCATTTCTGGTATCTGAAAAACATAGCAATTGACATGTTAATTCTAATTCAAAGAAAAATGACATTCACTAAGTAACTGTTAGCTTACCTCACATTTTTCTCAATGAAAGTAGGTCACTTAAGTGGAGGTGAAAGCCAGATTTCAAAACGGCTTCTTATAATTAGGACAACCCCACAAGCACCTCTGTGTACAATTTTCCTGCGCTATTTGGCACTTCCAGCAATGGTACTGGCTTTCTAACTTGATCTTCCTGCATAATGAAAGGGGATTTGTGACTCATTTCACATATTGGGCTCTAAAAAAATGTTTCAGGGTTGAAATGTCTTTCCTCATCTCAGGTACCACATGAAAATAGCTAAATATAATCCTGAAAAATGCTGAAGAATGCCGTAAAATAGTCCATTTTATAAAAAAACCAAAACCACAGCAAAAACGGAGTTGTCATTCATGCCAAAAAATTTCCAGGTCTAACTGGAGCAATGAATCTTGCATGTTATTTTGCAGATACACTCAACAGAATAAATTAGTCTCTGGAACAGCATCTTTCCACACACGTCCATGAAGCATAACAGCAACAGTACATCAGATAAAAGCAAGTGGCTGTTTTACGTTGACTTTCTTTAGCACGAACATGACAGAACCCTTAACACAGGGCAGGAGAGTCACCTAAGTCCACCATGCTACTGCAGTTCTTCCTCGTTTCTTGTTGAAATGAGTGATCATTTTCCAATGACAACTTGTAGCAAGAAACACACTGCTGCTTGGAAGATGGGTTCATAAAAATTATCAAGGTGAAAAGGTCTGGTCAGACCCTATGAAGCTAGAAAACTGCATGGCGCAAAAATCACCATATACTCTGGTGGGTGACAGGATGAAAACATTATCTAGGTGATCTGGAATTCTGGTTGCCATTACTGTCCAAGACATGGAGTTAACGCCTGAGAGATTTTTCTTATCACAGCTGTAAACCATTGGGACAGCGGGGTCATTTTATACTCAGAAGCACCATAAAATCTAGGCCACAAGCTGTAAGGATTTCGGGTGCAGCTCCAGAGCTAGATTACTCCCTGTACTGGGGAAAGACCTTGCTGTATCTGAAAGCAAGCTTAGCTGTGTTCACATGCAGTGTTATCACCCACCGCTCACCTGAAGGTATGCTGCAACTGCGTTGTGCTGCACACTATCCGAAAATCCCAGGTGCCTGTAAATCTGTGATTCCATCTAAGACAAGAGACCTTGTGATTGGAAGCCAGCTCCACACATCCCCTCATTAGCAATTACCACAGCAGCTCCAGATAAAGGAGAGAATTCCCTCCCAGGTATTCAAATTTCTTGCACTATTTCGGTGTTATGTCCTTACTGGAGCTGTCACTCAAGAAGAGTTTTCTTCAGCTGCAAGAGCAGCCTTTTTTTTTTCTTTTTGAAACATATCAACAGTCCTGCCTTGCATACAATGCTACATTCTCAATATGCACTTTGCTGTGCTGTTCAGAAAAGCACACCCCAGCAACATTAGTAGAGTGTAATTCTGGCTTAAGGTCACAGCTGCTACAGAGTCCACCAAAGCCCCTAAAACTCCACTTTGTTGCCCTGGAAAGGCTCGATCCCATACAACTTGCTCCGGTATGAGACCAGAAACAAGTGACAAACACATGCGCGACCAGAATCAGAAACCAGCCCTGACAGTGTAATGTTGTTTGCCTGCTGCTCTAACAATGGTTCTGTACCATTTTCTATATGGCTTCTACAGGAAATATCCTACTAGTCCACAAAGTCATTATCAAACTAGGTATTCCTTCAGTGCAAATGGACTAGTATCAAGTTAGCTATAAAAACTCAGCTAAACCTTTACAAAATGCACAGACCCAGTCACTAAAGAACTAACCTTGACTGGCTTCTCTACCTTCCCCTCCCTACCTTTTAAAGTCAAGGCAGATTTTTCAGATGCAAGAGTCAAAATGGGTTGCCGTGCTGGTTCTATAAAACAGCATACAGCTGTGCTTTGTATTAATTTTTGTACTGTAGATCTACCAATATTGTTACCTTTCCAGTTGCAGTGATCATGCTGTGCTGAGTTCCTGCTGGGATTAATCCTCTGAAAGGCTGGGTTACTTGTGCAGGTCTGCTTAGATTTTGAGCCTGCGCTTGTGGTGGTGTGTGCTGTAGTGGTGGTTGTAAAGACTGGGGTAGGGCAATAAGTGGCTGTGCTGTGGATCCAAAGTTGGGCAAAGAAATTTGTGATCCTGGCAAAGGTACCGTCACCTGGAAAAAAGTACAAAATCACCAGTAACATATACACAAGGGCCATCATTTAACTTTCTTTACTAGCTCTATGATTTCAGCTATGTTCAAGGTAAATGACTTTATGAACTCATTAATGAGTTCATACGTTTACCCAGAAAGCTGCAAGCAAATAAGTGAATGTATGGTTTAGCCTGTCTTCATGATCAGTTCTAATGGCATCTGAGTATGCTTTTCAGAAACAAAGTTGCATGCTAGCTCCTCACTCCAACATCATTCAACATGATTTCATTGCATGAAGAAGTAAATTTAATTCAAATCAGAAAATAAAAGTAGAATGAAAGAGCCAGCTGGGGGGGGTGGATGGGGTTATTTATTTACTTCAAATAATTTCAGTCATCGTAAGGACACTGTTTGGGATGAAAACTAGATTTTACTTTCCAGGAGTCGCAACAGCCAGCAGTCCGAGCTTAAAAATAAGAACCAAACTGCAGCCTATCCCTTGCTTGCATTAACAGGGAGTGCTGTGGGCTGAAATCACCACAGAACAGCAGTGATAAACGTGAAAATACCACAGCAGTGACCTGACTGGGAGGACTTACTGCATTTCCTAGTCTGACCATCAATCCACAACTGCAAAATTATATTCTGAGTGTGACTATAAGAATGATACGATAATTGTCCAGATATGAAAGACTTACTAGGGTTCTGCTCTGAAGGATAACAGATTAGAAGTATAGAGACAGCCAAGCTTGAACACATTAAAAGCACTAACCCTTCTAAAAGGTCCTTAAAACTTTATGCTAGAGTTCCAAGAAGTGAGATCCAATTTTTTAAGACTCTTATAGATTTCTGTCTTGGTAACTCTTCATGTGTACGAAGTAGGCTATTATAATGTACCAGTCCATCACCAGTTTGTTTGTTTGTTTTTTTTTAAAAGCCTCTTAAATACAAAAAAACAAATCGGAAGATGGAAACCACTAGACAGCATCCTGTTAATATGACAGAATGCTTGCACACAGCAAATTAACAGTTCTTTCACAAAAGAATTCAAAAAACCTTAAAATCATTGGAGTTATTTTACAAACCTCCTGCTGTAGGTTACTGACTTGGCTGTCCTGTTTGCCTGTACAATCATCTATCTGCTGACTTCTCATTTGTTTTCTACATATTTCATATTGCTGACATACGTAGCAGCTCTGAGGTTTCATCTCAATGAGATGCGGTGCTAGCAATTAGGCTGCACTAAGCACCTGGAGTTTGTCTCTCTTCACCATCACTAACTGATACCTGGCCCCATGAAGGCAGCATATGCCTCAATCAATTAGCAACATCACTGTGCCAACTAAATCTTTGCTTGTCACTGGAAAATGACCTATTTCAGAGAAGGACGACAGAGACAAATGATCAATATGAACTTGTAGGCCACCCAACTTCTCAGCAATTCAGTTTTTCAGTGCTGCTGCAGTAGCTCTCCTTTGCTATCAATTTTCAGTTCTCACATTTTGGAAGAATTAAAGATTGTCTCAGCCTCCATCTCCACCCCACCCCACAAAAAACATCAACAACAACACACTTTTAAGAAGAATACAATTTAGGAAATTTACCATGCCATAGTTTACCTGCTGGAGAGCACTGGGAGACTGTGCAGTGTTGTAGAAATTGCTCTGGCCAGGCTGTTGAACTTGCCCAGAGTACAGATTTGAAGCCTGAGTGAGTGTAGCTCTGGCCTAGGAAGAGAGAGAGACACACCTTTACATTAAGAATACTTAGGAGAGCAGTTCTGAGACAGCATGGCACATCATTCTGTATTTTAACCAGTACAGTAGAAACCACAACATGGGAAGCTGAAAACCTGAAGGTTTCAGCTTGTGATAAAGCTCTCCTTTGCAACTGGTAGAATAGCCCTTTATCACCTACCATAACAGAAACTAAACCTGAAGCTCCAATTAGTGACAGAAGTGCAAAGAGCCCTGCAGTTTGGGGAACAAGCTTCCATTCAGACATTATGCTAATGTACCCCTATGAAATTAAAAGAACATTCTCTTCCAAACATCTTCATTTTCCTGCCACCTTGACTATCATGTAATTATCAAAGAGGTGGGCTTATCCCAAGCTGAACAATACTTGATTTATTATTGCATTATCTATGTCAAACCACTGCAGAAATTCTGCATTTTGGAGCATTTCCTACCTGGAGAATGTGTGTATCAATAAGCTGAGAGCCTCCCAGTCCTGAAGCTTGACTAAGCTGATGTTCGTATAAGATAGGAATAGGTTGTGTATTAGAAGTCTGTTGAAACGCCAGGCTTGACTGTGCCTTAGCAAGCTCTTGGTGTTGTACTGCTGGGAAGTTGTGTAAGGCTGTACCAGACAGAACCACTGGTGACGGCTGAGACAAACCACTTTGCATAAAAGCTTGCTGGGATCTGCAAGAGATTGAAGCACTATACATAAGAATGCAGATGGTGCCCAACAATGAGCCACCAAAAATTAAGAACACAGGTTATATTCTTTAAATGGAATTAGAATGCTTAGCTCTATTGAACACATTTTCACCTGAGAAAGGTAGATTTTTTTTCTATTCACTCTGCACACAACAAAATAACAGATGCTACTAAAGGCCACAGGAAAAAAAATGACTAAGCTTTTTATCTAAATCTTAAAGTACACTTAGCTATTTAGATGTACATGCTAATACAGTGTTTGCATAACTTAACTGCAGCGTAAAGAAGCTACCTGTTCTTAGTTCCTGTGCTATATGGTAGGACAGTGGGGAAGCACCATATGTGAGTAGTTCCACTTAGTCATAAACTAAACTGTTTTGTTCTCTTGACTTCACAGATCTCCATAGTCCAGCTTTTAATACATACAGGTTAAATCACTGGATGCTGACAATCATACCTTCCAAAAGAATGTTTTGGCTTCACAATAGTAACACAGACACCACAGCCTTTAATTTTAACTAGATATTCAATTCCCTTGTCACCAGCATGGGGAAGCTGCAGTTTGTTTAAAAAACAAAGACCAAAACCACTACAGCAAAGCACCACAGACAGGTTGTTTCAGTCCATCAGAAGTATTTATCCAAACATTTTCCCTAAGAGCCTGCTGAATAGCCACCTTCAGACTGAATAATGTTTTTAAATAAATGCCCCTCTCAAAGCTCTTCAGCTCAGAGGAGAGTTGTTTTGATGTAAAAACACTTTTCACTTTATCATTTGGTCAACAGGTACCAGCACAGCACTGGTCCTGTTACTCTGTTAGCGCAGTGGCCATGTGCTTGCCTGACAAAACACCTCGGTTAGCTTGTTCTGTACCTTTCTTTAATTGCAAAACATTCTTACAGTTGCACTCTGAGCACTGGAGAAACTTCTTCAGAATGTATGCAGAAGACTGTCTTCAATGTAGCCAAAAACATTTTCACAAGGTGGTTTTTTTTTTTTGGTTGTCTGTTTTTAAACCAGTAACCTGTACTTCTCAAAGCTTATCCTCCTCTGCACCTTTAAAGATGTGGGGAAAAGTATTCATACTCTCATATATAGCACAACCCAGAACTCCACCAATACTGGGTTTGTGCATGACCAGATCAGCCAGAAGCATTTATTTAACCTGGACCACATGTCAGACTGATTGTGTTTCTGCAGCTACCCAACTGCTTGCAACAACTTTTGTCAGCTGTGGCAGGACAAGCAATATTTGGTCCAAAGTCAGCCAAGCACAAAGTCAGGATACACATGTAGTCAATTAAACCTTCTGTGGCTTCAGTCTTCTACATTGCAACAAGCACCTTTTTCTACAGCACATGCAAACTCCTGTAATTAAATTTCCAAAGAAACTTTCCCAAAGTGAAACTAACAAAATTTGTCAGAATTATACCACTGTGAATCAGTTTTGGTAGGAACTGCAAAGAAGCTTTGGAAAGGCTTACAATGGAAATTTGTCTGGCTATCAATGCCATTTGAGAGATACTGGCCTTCCTATCATCTTTCATAGCAAACAGAAAATATTTATTCTAAAACATACCCTGCTCTCCCCTACACATCTGACAATTTTCTTCCACCTATGGCATTCAAACTAGGATTTCAAAGTGTTTCAAGACTCCAATGTTGGTTTGATTAGAAAATAACAAACACAAACTACTGAATTAAAGGGACAGACTCTTCTCTTTCTGTTCTCTTAGTATGAAAGACTGATGTTTTCAGCTTTTTAGACTAGTTTCCTAAAGATACAAATATCATGCATAATTTTTGAACCCACAATTTCACAATTACATCTGCACATGCAGACTAGCCAGACAATCTGCATACAGAGGTCAGCCAGACAAACTGATGAAACATGGGACAACTATTGAGCACAGAACATAAGTCTGCAGGGAAGCAAGTTCTATAAATTCTGCCACCCAAAAAACCAAAGAAATTTGTATACACTACCTGTAAGGTTGTAAGGAGGAGTTGAACAACTCCTGGGCTTGTGAAACAGCTGGTGCTGCTCCTAAACTCAGCTGAGCTTGATGCTGTCCTTGCAGAGGTGCATAGATGGGGATAGGGATCTGCTGAACTGAAGCAGGCTGCATAAAAAAGAAACCATTAGATACCCAAGGACAAAAGTCACATAGAATAGCTACAGTTAAACGTCTGCCTGGATTTGTGTAATATTATAAGAAGTAAACAAAGAATTTCAAATCCCAAGGCTGCATGCAAAGCTAGTATTGTTCCCATTCAGAAAATTACTTTCTAGTTGAATTTTATACTTTTCCTTGCAAATAACCAGCAGAAACCAAATGAATCATTTAGATTTGCATACAAAATCTGCACAAGATCACATACAATTTTGTACTACAAAAGTTAAATAAGCCTGCACTAACACAGCCACATAAACACCTCCTGTGAATATGTACTTTTACGTAAAGTATATTTGAGAATGAAAGTTCATTCTCTCAACTTTCATGACAAATGCTTTCATTCTCAGGAACAGCAGAGATCAAACACTGCCTGCATGCACCAGAATGAAATAGCACGCACGACCTCATTTTTGCAGTCTTTAGTCCTACTCTCCCCTGCCCCCATTAGTACAGGGAATATGGACAGGGAGGACAAAAAGAAAAAAAGAAATCCCCAAATACCTGAGAAAGCCCTGGTTGAAAGCCTTGCTGTTGGGCCAGAGAAGGTGGTGCCAAACGCGCGTGTTGGGTATTGAATAGATGACTTGTATCCATATAAAATGCTGGGATTTGAGCTGCAGTACCTCAGGAAGAGCAATACAATTAGTACCCAATTCCAAACATCTCCCAGCTAGAAAGGTTTTCATCAAGAGTTAGAGATGCAGCCACTGTCAGTACTTCCCAGTGTGACAGTTACCAGAGAGACTAGGAGAAGAAATAGAACTGAAGAGCTGGGTGCTTAACAAGCTTTGGTATCTTTTCCAGTTCATCCCCACTATCTATCAGTCTTGCATACGCATCTTCAGTCCCCTGCAATTCTTGGGGGCCGAGCAACAGATTCTGGCAAAATGAGTGTTTGGGTGAAGGACGGGGAAGAACATGCCATGCTGTTACGTAATTTAGGTTACCAACATATAGGGTTTTCTTTACAGAGAAGTGCCATAATTCTAAATTATTGTAGCACTTTAAGAAAGAAGTCAAGATTAAGTTATTCTTGGTCTTAAATAGTGATTTACAATTCTGCAACAGAAAAATGGTATATCAAGAGATTCAAACTTACTTTCCTCAACAAACTAGGAACACAGCATCATCTGTGTACTTACAGATAGAAACTTGCATATTTAGAGTAAGACAATTAGTAAGTATTCGCTTACAGAACGCTCTCCATAGTTCTGTCTTTACTGCACATAAAACCAGAACTGAATTCAACACTCCTGCTTCAGAACTCCAAAAAAGCAGACACATAGCTTCTCAGCCAACAAACACTATTACCTGCTGCAGACTGAGACACATAGACCTGGGGACTTTGCTGTTGCTGGGCAATGAGGGATGGCATGCAGCTCAGCTGGGAAAAGTGACTGGCAGAAGCTAGGCTGCTTGTCTGCAATTGCTGTGGTTTCACTTTACATATATTAGGAGGGTCTGAGGTACTTGCAGTCTTCGTACTCAGTGAAGAGGTTGTGTATGTTCCAGCTCCTAGGAGGACAGAAGCAAGTGATACATCATAAACCAGCTAAAGATATTACAAAGCTGCATCTTTCAGCCATCAATGTTTTGGGACAGCTATGCAAGTCCAGCCACAACCGGAAAAGAACACTGAAACCTAATGTAGCTGTTTCCATCAATGTAAGATGGACAGGGAGGACAATTCTGTTAAGTTCACTATAGGAAGCGCTGCAACCATAACACATCTCCTTTCTCAAGTATAGGAGCATATAAAAAAACCTGAAGTAGACATCTTGGTTAGTTATGCAACAAAATATTGCAACTTACAGTGGTTGTGCCACTCATGGTTGAGAGCTAGGCTCCAAAGAAAGGTCTTTTTCAAGCACTTCAGCTGAGATTTGGGCATACATTCTAGTATTCAAAGGTATGAAGTTTTAACCAGATACAGCATCTTTTATTTGCTGCAAAGAACCAAGATGGAAACCAGAACTGTTTGTGAAGAGCTGCTGGACACTGCCTAGTGCGAAGGGGTTTTGGTATGTGAAAGCTTAGACTCAAAAGCAAGAGCACAAAGGAAAATAAGACTGCAATTAGCCAGATATCAGAACTACCATCTGCTCCAAAATCTACTTGTTTGCCTTCACTCAGCTGAACAAAATAAAACCAATAAGGCAGCCAACAGGAAAAGCTTATTTCCTTTTTCAAGTGCATATAGATAGCATAGGCAGAGAGATGTCTTCTTCATATTCTTTTCAGCTGACTGAAGTGAAACGGGTGACATATCTCCTTGTTAGTTAAAAGGTATTTGGGAAACAGCTGTTCAGCTCTGACATTTCATACTAGCATAAAACTTCTGTTAGCTTTGCACTAAACGTAATTCCAAAGGGAATCTAGTCTCTTGAAAAACATAACCAAGGAATAATACAACAGGATACTACAATCTTGATATCTGGTACCTGACAGTGAAGTTGTCGGTGTAACTGAGGCCACAGGAATAGGAGGCATTGATGCACTAGAGAAAGAGCTGTAAGTACCACTGCTTGGCCCAGCGTTGCTGCTGCTGCTGCTACTGCCGCTGCCACCAGCAATAGGAGATGCTGCCGAGGTCACTGGTGAACTCTTCTCCCCCATGTTCGGGGAATTCTCCCATGCTTTGCGTGCAGACTCCATCTATTTAAAAGAAAACAAATTTCCTCATCTATTAGGAAGTTTCAACTAGTCAAACAGTCTTCCTCTTTTAACAGTTCTTTCTAGTTCAAAAGCTAGTTCAGGCTTCATGCGAGCCTCTTCCTTAAAAGTCATGGTAATCGTGCAACTCTGTTCATGCAAAAAGCATACAGCCTTAAGTTGGAGCTTCTTATCTGTTCCAACCGCACACGTGCACAGTTCATCATCTTAACATTCAACGCTCAAAAGAGAATTCCCTCACACTAACTTGGCTTGGTTTTGTTTGACATGAAGAGCAAAAGACACAGTGAGCAAAAGAAAGGTAAAAGCCCTCGAAATATTTTCATGAAGTCCTTTACTTACAAGTTATTTGGGCCATTTAAATGAACTAGCCCCTTGCTTTCTTAGTAAATCATTCACTTTGAGTGACCACCAAAAATATCTAATGCACATTTCAGTAAACATGAGAGTAGTCGAGTTTAGATTTCCAAAGCAACTGCTGTTCAAGAAGCAATCATGAGCTGACACAGCCTGCGCGCACTGCTTCACATTAATGCTAAAAATCCTTCATGCTCCTCTATTTTTGTAATAATTATGAGTTTAAGTCTTGCACAGCAGGAAAATGAAACTTCAATTTAAATATTTTATACACAATTATCTTCCACTAAAAGTGGAAAGAACCATTGTTTTAGTGCAGCCAATAACAATCTAATTATTGCTACATCAGACCACGCAATGCCAGATCTGAACCAAGACACTTTTGAGGAAATATTAATGTTCAGCCTGCACTCACTAATTTAAAGGCTCAAACACACTCCATGGACTTCTCTACAACCTTCAGCTGTCCCCAGTTGAAACAAAGATTTTGCTAGCAGAGCTGGATGCCACAGGCTGAAATCACTCATCTGGCCGGCTTGAGCTTCTCAAGGCCAGGTGCTCTCTTTAATGGTATATGTAAAGGGGCAAATACATACTCACCAACAAATCTGACCTCACTGCCTGAATCAGAGTCCCCTAACTGGGACCTGTACCCTCAGAAAGTCATACTTTCAACCTGCCCTTTTTTACATGAGCTAGGCATACTCTGGACAGACCAAACATGATTTAGGCTATCTGTCTAGATCCTTCAGAAGTGATAAAAAAGCAAAGCAATATTGAAAGAAGTGGGTAACAGGTGATCAATACACACTCATGTGGAAAGTGGAGTTCTGTATTCCTCAAGAGAATAAAGGGGGAGGAGGGAAACTTTGTTATACATTAAATCATTTGGAGGCAAGTCACCTATTTTCAGTTTTGAGATCATCTTCCCCAGCAATCATTCTCAGCTTCCCCTCCACAATGTTTTCCTCTAAATTGATTCCGATTCTTGCAGACAGGGCAAACTTCAAAATGTATTATTAATCTGCTGGAAAGGATTTTGGTTAAGGTGGAGTACAGGTAAGACTACAAGCTCCTTTCTGAACACCACAGGCTCTGGCAAGACAGGGTAATGGTCCTATACTGCACTGGCATTAAGAGAAAGTGAAGAACCTGTGAATGTCTGAACAGAGAAGGTGTAGAAGCTTCTACTATGCTCAATCACTCTTCATGATGTCCTGGAGAAACTACTGATAGCAAAAGTCAGAGTCTACATATTGCATTTTGTCTTCCATTTTCCAATTTGCAATAAAAGGCATGTAACAGAGTCCTGAATTTTCTAACAGCTTTGCTTTTAGAAAGCTCCTTAATAATCTCCAACTTCTTAAGCCAGAAAAAAGATGCAAAAGAGACTGGTACTCTAGGAGCGCCTATACAGCACCATCTACAGACCAAATACGAAGGAGTAAGAGGCTCTAAATTAAGAGAGGCTGGGGAAAGTGCTGCAATTTCACTGTTCAGTTATGGGACAAGGAGAGCACAAGTTGGAAATTATGGTTGCTTGAGGCTCCTCTTCACCCTTGACCCATTGGGGCCTTCACATTGTAGTAATGGTCCAGTACGTATCACCCAAAAACTTAACTGGAGACAAACACCAACATGCATATCGTTAAGAATACTAAAGTTTAAATGATCAGAAAGAGAAAGTCAAAACATGTCAGATTCTGGACCAGATGCCTACACAGGAATTTTAGATGGAACCTTGGAACAGGGACGAGGGCCACGCAGCACGGTTTAAGATTGCTTTGGACTTTCTTTTGATCAGCTCCTTATCTGCCAATAGCCCTATCAGCTAAGTCCTTAAGAGGAAGTCTGCCTTCGTAAAGGTGTCTTTAGCAAAGTTACTCCAAGGAAACAAGAGATCTCAACAAGCCTTCCCATATGAGCACCTTATACCTACACCCTGGCAGAATGATGCCAGGTAGTGGGAGCAATTGTGGCTGAGTTCCCCTGCCGAGTCTCCTCACAGACAGCTTTCTGTGATAAGGGACGGAGCAAAGGGGAAGTGCAAGGATTATTCCTTTATGGAGGCAGAGCCTGAAGATTTTGTTCTTTTAAGAGAAGGAAGGAAATACTTTCCTCTCTGCTGCTCCAAAAGTATCTTTTAAAAGAAGCAAGGATTATATTGAAGAGGATGACAAAGCACAGCTCTGCTCTGTCTGGACCAGAAAGCCTGCTGTGAACATGATAGTCTCAGCACATGCTTCAAAACAAGCTCGCTGCCTTCAGCACTTGCAAAAGAGGAGGTAGAGCTCCAGTGGCTGAAATAGAGAAATTAAGAGACAAAGCTGCTTCCAAATGCCTTTCTATTCAGATTTTGGTCAGAGTGTTCTTCAAAGTAGCCTCAAAACATGGATCTTTGACATATTTTGTTAGCAGACATCCAAGATCTATCATCAACTGAGAAAGCGACCAAATCACTGACACCAGAATAGCAGAAAAAGAAACTGCAGGATGAATGACACAAACACCACAGTTTGCTTTGTAACTGAGTAGTGTCACATTCTTTGCCGCATCATGCTATAGTAACATTCCTACCTGTATTACATGTGAATCAGATATCCTGCTGCTAAACAGTCAGAGATCGCTATTTTAGAAAAATGCTTTCAGGCGCCAGAAAGTCAGATTATGGGAACTTATTACACAAGAATGCAACAGAAAACCAAATTTTTGTTAAATTACTTGTCCCTCCAGCCCTCTCCCCATTTCTGCTGGTCTGTTGTTTTAAAGTGATGTTATATTTTTTTCAAGAAATAAAGCGTTAACAAAAGAAAAGCAAAGATTCAACAAGAGATCATTAATAACTATCATCTGTAGAGAACACAAGCAAGCAGCTGTCAAACCATGCCAGCGAGATGCAAGTCTCACTGGGATTGACAAGCAAGTTTCTCCAAAGTGTTAGTTCTGCATCCAATCCCTAGTTTCATTTCTTCTTCTAAAAATTTAGAGAAACTGAGTTCAAACATCACTCTTCCTTAACACTAGAAGCAGCAACAATATTTCTACTGGTTCAGTCACCTGTAGCCACAATCACAAAGCAGATCTAGGACACCAAAAAGAAAAAAAAAAAAGACCAAAAACTTCTAAAGATACAGTAGCAAAGCTAGAGCTCAACTCTATGTTAGTGAGTTATACAATGCACACAGTCCAAACTCCAACAAAATGGGAAAACGCCATTCAAAACATTCTACACACTTGCTCTGCACTGGAGAGCAGGAAACAACAGAACATTTTTAACACAACAAAAGACGTTCTGACTAGCTGATCAAACTGCCCTTCATAGACACCAACACACCACCTACATTTCATTATTTAGAACTTTAGCCGTCCAACTCAAAACCACATTATCGTTGTACTAAAATCTTACAGCTAAGAAGACATCAAGCTCAGCTTACCAGGCAACTCCTTACAGCCTTTAATACCAAACCAGGCAACTTACTTTAAGCTAAACTCTCAAAAAACCTCAGTCAGATTCTGATGGTTGGTCACAAACGCTATGGTACGATGCTAAAATGCTAGGATTGTTTTTTCAGGGTAATGGGAGCCAAGACTGGTTGAGATGCCAAGTGTTAATGCAAAACGGGGTTAGAGATTTATAATTTAAATGCATCCTTTGATAGAGTCTTGTGTTTCAGCCATCCGTTTATATGCAAAAGCAGTTCAGCAGAGGAAACAAAGGAAGGCTCTAAAAAAAAAAAGTTCACCAGCAAGTTCTCCATTAACTTTTTCCCCTGCATGCAAGAAAACGACCCTTAGAGGGATGTGGTACATACCTTGAGGGTGAGGTCGACGGTAGCGGGAGAAACTGGAGTTAGGCTGGAGCTCTGTTGTAGAGTCTCCCTCCTAGGGAGGGGAAGGGTGTGGGGCAGGGGCACCTGAAAGGCAGGCAACATACATCACATTCTAACTACGTCTACTACAAAAGCCCCAGAAAAAGCAAAGCTCAAGCTTTATTAAGTGAAGTACAATTTCTTCAAGGCTTGAGCATTTGGCAGGGAGATTTTTGACAAAACAAGGTGAAAATTTGGTAGGGAGGGAAAGGCCATTCAGCAGGTGCTGAGATGCTTCTCATCTCTCTTTAAGAGGCTGAAGACTAAGGTTCTAAAGTGTCCATATGTTCTGCATAAACAAATACCAGTTTTCTGCTTTGGGATTTGAAGTGCCATTTCAGTTTACTGATATGCAAAAATTCTTCCCAAGCCAAGTTTGTCCCCTTCTGTACCAATACAGTACATGGGGCTTCATGATCTTGAGTGCTGAGAAGCAGTTTCTGCGAAGAGGAAGCTGTAAACCTCCAAAGTCACAGGCCCACGAAACAAACCAAAACAGATTTGCCAACCAGTAACTGAATTCAGTTATCTTCTCTTTCGAAAAAGATGAAAGATGTGAAGTTTAAGGAAATAGACTTGATATAATGCTATTGCTATCTTTGCCTAAGAAAACACTGATGGATTTCCTAGAAGCTTTAAATGAAACGTAGCAAAAATACTGCCGCAGCCAGTCTATCACTTCTAACCATTGCTTTCTCCATTTACAGCACAGCTAAAGGACTTCCACTGGATGAGATAAGGCTAATCCAAAAGGCACAGATACTGAAGCTTTGAAGCAGGTGATAGCACAGACCCTTTGTGGCTAGGAGTCCCTATTTCCTATGTTCGAAATCCAACTCCAACACGCCACAGGGGAGCATACACAAACATCATTAACACAAAAGAATTCAGTCTTCCACACTAACCACCAAAGGCACAAACCACAACACCGCCAGAAAATCCAGCAGAAGAGGAGGTTCAACCAGTATTGCTTCAAGACTGCATGAAAGCATGCTGCAGTAAGCAGAAAAGCATTTCTTAGATGGAATTCACAAGACATCTTCACAAAAAACTGAGATCCTACTGTATGATTCTTTCTTCCCCCAATCAACAAGCAACTCAACTCTGAGCTAATTATACTTCTGCTACTTGTGCAACAAAAATCGCGAGATCCAACTTCCCTGACATCCCAGCACACTCAAGACAAACTTGATTTCGCTACCAGTCACAACCCAGTTGGGTCCTCTCAGTCGCAACACCATGCTCACACAGTCAGGATCATTGGCTTTGAGGACTGCAAACATCTCATCTCTGTAGCAACTGAACAACTAAAAGCTTGCCGTCTGCTTTCAGAAACCATTGAGCTGCTCCCTTCACACACAGTTGCTGTCACTTCAGGCTACAGTTCAAAATTGCTTTTTGTAAAAGCCTTTCTTCAAACTCAACTACAGAGCTTTGCTACTGGTAGCAGGTTCAAGTCCCAACTGCTGCTGAGAGCACACTCCCTCATTATGCCTATCTTTGCTTTTTTAGCACTGTTCCTAGAAACATCGTCTCCACTTTCTGTGCTCTTTAGCTCATTGTGAGTGTTCAAAATACCTGAAGAATTCCAGAACAGATACTAATCAAACCAAACGTCCTTCAGAGTAAGATTAGTGGATAATACACAGCTAGTTAACATGAAAGAAACTCTAGTGACCTGAAGGCACTATTTTGTGCTTTACAGAAGTGTGAAAATATTTTCTTGTCTTCAAAGTCAAGACGACCACTGCAATAGACTTACGTTCGTCACCAAAGTCTCCTCCATTTTTGTACTGCTAGTAGCCACTGTGTTAGGATGAGAAGAAGGTGTAGTGTAGTCTGTTACAGACTCCTGTGAAGAAAAATAATTCCATTAAAGTATCTCCCTTACCTAAATTAGATTTAAATTGTTTGGACAGATCTCTGCCCTTCTACAGGAGGAGTTCTCCAAGCAACAGATGATTAGAATTTCACACTAGTTTTCTCTTAGAAGACATGTCCAGCAATCCTTATTGCCCAATTGCTACTGAGGTCAGAAGAATTCTTAGAAGATTACAGTTTGCCTCATGACCTCGCAACGTACATCTGGAGACAAGTCAAAATACAGTCCATAAAGCAAGAATATAGAGCGCGATGTACTGCCTGGGCACTAGACATATTGAACTGTGATGGTGTAATCAAATACCATTTGTCACCCAAGATGCTTTAGCCAGCTGTAGGCACTTTTAGCCTATTAAAAAAGTAAAATATATTAGCTAAAAGCTTTCTGTAGCTTTAAATACAGAAATTTCTTGGGTAAACCTATGACAAGTAAGGCCCTCCAGATTAAAAACCACACAGGGATGGTTGCAATTTGCAAAACAATCTTCTCTCTTTTAAGTCTTGTCTGTGAAAGTCTTAAGACTGGGTTTCTCTGGATGGTGAATTCTACCTCCCGATTTCTGCACTGGGCAGTGATTTCAAGAAAGAAAAGGACTGAAGTTTCCAGTCTACCTATAGGCCTTCCTTGAAACTCATTTGTCACAGTTAAGTGGACCTTGATGTGCTCAACGCACAAGGTCTACTTTCACGGACCTAGCTATGGCCAGAGACTATTGCAGTTGTAGGTATAAACTGCCTGATGAAAGTGTCTCATGGATAACACTGCCAGCTCTCTCGAGGATGACCTATAATGAACAAAAAAGACATTGGTACTTCTGTGAAGCCATGTTGAGTGCTGTTTTTTAGTTCTTGTCACTGGATATCTACTGAACATATTCTGGACAGTCAAACAGGTGTTATCAGATGTTAGATAAATGGTGTGACCCTGAATTAGCCAAGATCCACTCTCTAGCAAGCACTGCAAACTCCAAAGTTTTACATGTCTGAAGCCCAGAAAAGGCTTTTTGATGGAACCAAACACCAAGAAGGAACTGAAGGACAAGTTAGCAGCAGAACTGTTGATGGCTGCCTGAACTTGCCAACACATGATTTTGAAGGCACAAACCACATAATGCTTGTTTAATTGCATCTAACCAGTATGACAACAAGCTATTAGAAAAGTGCACACTCAATTTACTCCTCAAGTCTATGGCAATGTCTCCTAAAAGAGCAATTACAGCATTAAGATACTAACTGGCAAACAAGAAAGAATCTTTCTTAAAAGCATGAGTTCATTTTGGTAAAAGACTGGGACAACAAGCTAAACCTTAATGGGGTGAGAGAGGACACAATGTGCACATCGACTTATTCTTGTTTTTACAAAGGAAACAGAACCACTTTCTCCATTTAGTTATTTCCTTTACTTGTTAAACTGGTGAAATATGAGATATATGATGTTTCCCCACAATCTGAACTACCAAACTGCAAGTTGCACATTTGTATTTGATTCCAGTAGGCAACCTTAATTTGAGTAGAACAAGTCAAGCACACGGGGCTGCTTTAATCACAAGGTCCTTCTAATGAAGTAATTAACTGGCTTCTTGTTTTTTTAAGATGCTTTACTGAATAAGAAAGTTTTTAATATAACATTATTAAAATTCCTTCAAGGTTTGGATGCAAGTTTTACAGGGTCTCAGCACTAAAATTCCTTACAGAAGAAATTAGATCAAGACTATTGCTAGCTTTCTCACTTTGGAAACTTACAACACAAAAATGCTCTTTCACTAGATTTAAAAACAAACGCCATATCAACTCTGGCACCCTTAGAAGTGTATGTGCAATGTTGAACCATCCTACAAGGATGAGTTACATGCTGAACATGCAGATAAACAATGCTTTAGCCATAAGAACACCACTTCATAAGCTGTAGGTTGAGCACCATCCTTCATTTACTGGTACATTAAGTCTAGGAATCTCTGTTAGATATGGCTAATCACCATAAGCTTTTGTAATTCAATTAAAACGATCCTCCTGTACAACTGTTTTAGCAAAGCCGACTGATTACTTTATTATAAACTAGTAACAGTAGTAATAGCAAGAGCAAAAAGCTGTACATGCTTTTTTAGAGTTACCTGCAAGTTATTTGTACCTGAAGAAAAAGAACAGGCAAACTTTTTATAACTATCTACTTTGCCCAAAAAGAAAAGATCACAAAACCTGAAGTGACTTTATGAGCAAATGGACAAGGCAGACCTCAGAGCTGACCTTGCTATAAAAGATCTGGGTACAGCACGGGATTAATTAGCTATTTGATTTGTTCCTGACTTACACAAGTCACCCAAACCAGAGAGCTTGTCAGATACTCAAAATTTATTCTCAAGTACAGCCTATGTCCTTCTAGACATCATCTCTGTAAGACATAGCTGTTATCAACTAGCTGTGCAAACACTGCATTGCCACGTCCACAATGAGGTATTGATTGTTCCTCCGATTTGAAAGCTTCATAACTTTAGACATGGTAGGGTGTGGAAAGGCAAGGGATAAGGTGTTTTACCCAATTCAGCGACTTAGACATCCGATTGCCTTTACTCCAAAAACACTGCAAAACCCAAGAGAAACAGCTGCACTTGCTTCGGAGCATCATGATTATGTCCTAAACTTAAAGATATCACCAGTATGAGTTGATTTATATTTATACAGTTTCTAAGGTAAAACAGTCTTGTATAATTAAATGCATATGCTCTTATTAACATGTTTGTTTTGGGATGGATGGGGTACTCTTACAAAGCTGCTGCTTCTGAAGGAGGACAGCTGGCTTGACTTTTACAATACACTAAAGAAAACGTGCCTTCCTGGAAGTTGAGCAGTAGTCTTTGAGAATGATGTTAAAGAGTGTCAAAAGAGAAATCATTTAGGTATGCTAAAACTTCAAAACTTGACGTTGAAAAAACAGATTAAAGATGTCATCACTTCTTCCCTCATTAATGAGCAATAGAAAGAGTATAAAGACAAGAGAAAGCAGTTGCAATACAAATCAACACAGCAACTCCAAGGCTGGAGCAGTATTTGAACCCATTTTAAAAGCCACTTTAAAAAGCAGAAAGACTGGTTTATTCCTGTAAAATCTAGATGAAGCTTACATTATCCAGTAAATCTGCAGGTCATCAGTCCAACTTCCATAGAATTAAGTACAAAATATGATGACCCCTTTCCTAGAAAAAAAACTTACCGATGCCCCAGGAACTACTAATGACAAAGGAATTTAAAAGCAAACCTGGAACTGTTGAGACAGAAATATTTAGGCCTATTATTAAATGCTATTAGCAACCACTTAATAAGGAAATCATTGGGAATTTTAATATCCAGCACAAACTGGAAAGTTGCCTTTCACTCTTGTCTTCCTTCCAGAAGACAGAAGCTTGGCGCTTCAATACTGTGGCAGTTCAAAGAACCGTAGCAATCTGTGTTCAACTAAAGCAGAAAGGCACAAACCCCAGACTTCTCTTTTGAAGATCTCATACTTTAAAACCACAGCTGTAGAGAGGAAATGATGCAGATTTTAGTGGAGCTACTCTATATCGAGTTAGCCTGGAGTAATCAATAAAGATACATTTCCTATTCTGTATGTGGCTCAGAAGAAGCATCTCCTTTTCTTATCTTGAGCTCTGGTGACAGGAGCTTGAAAGACAGCAAGAAAGCACGACACACATATGAACAGCCTTCTTACCAAATACTTAAGCAAGCTGGTGTTTACAGCTCTACACTTCTGATTCTGCGTAAAAGAAGGGCACTTTATCTGTTTCTGATATCAACGTAAACCACTCACATCTACTTACAAGATGGAAACTGCCAGGAAGGATGAGAAATCCCAGCACTGAATTTTGTTACGTATTTACCATTCCACTCAAAAATCAAGTTTGCAGCTACCATGTCAGACACAAATATCCTCCTTAACACTCGCTCTGTAATAACACTTCATTGAGATAGCATCTTCTGCTTGCATGACACCTTGGCAAAAAACTGCCAAAATTGTCTTGTCTCCCCCCATCCCCAACTGCGGGTGACAAAGATAAATTGCGAGTGATCTGCACTTCACATTCTTCAACTATAAATGCAACTTTTGCAGAAGATCAGTTTTCCTAAATGGCATCAGAAAATTTCTGCTTGACACAAGAAAAAGGAAAATTGAGATAGCATGCAACAAACTTGAGTCTAAACTCACAAAACTGCTTTACAAACATACAAGAAGCATTTTTCCTTTACCAAAGCAGGTGCGACTATTAACTAGTAGCCACTCAAACTGCAGGGTTTCTTTACATTTGAGAGATGACAACCACTGTTCCTGCTCAAGACACAACGCTGTGGTAGTGAGGGAAGTCCCCGCAGGTCCTTACGCAAAAGAGAGAGCACCCCTGCGGATGTTTTTCAGCCAGTGCTATCAATGCACCACAGCTAAGAACTGAGCGGTAGTACAACGGATCCCATCAGCAAGTCACCATCTCATTGTTAAGCAGTTATAGAGAAGTCAGAGGAGTTCCATGCAGACAACTACAATGAGTCCTCAACATCCTGAAGGAGTTCTGCAAGGGATACCTTGAAAATATCTATGCCAACAGGAGCTGACATACAGACCCTTTAGGTTAACTGAATGAGCCTTATCCAAATGTTTTAGCATATTCCTAGTTTAGAGATTTCTTTTTTCACAGAACAGCACTTAATTCACAGCTTCAGGTCATTCATGCACTCAGCCAACAATTGCGCACACTACTTCAGTTCTCTGCTGAAAGTCAAGCACTCATCTTGCATATGTCACACACCTGAGTTTACAGAATCTGCCTATACCAGGCTTCAGCGTCACTCTCCACAACAAGGCTCAGGACAGTTTTCACATTCGTAAGGCAGCAAAAAAGTTTAAAACCTTCCAAGTTGACCTCTGTACAGGGGTATGACAAACAGCAGGTCTCTGTATCGCTTCTGGAGAACTGTTTAATTCAAGCAGTACCAATATGTTTCATATCTGCTATTCAGTGGGCTCTGCTGTCCAGGTAACTACCACCAGCAGACAGCTAAGTGTCAATTACACCATTGTAATAATATTTCACATATACAGCTCAGTAATTTATCAATATTTTTCTTACCTTTGTGTTTGTTCCAAACTCTGGAGCAGACACAGATATCATCGTTCCTATTTCCGTGCTCAGTTCACTTGCTGCTTTGGTTTCCTTTGTAGTGACAGGTTCTGGACTTCTGACAGAGGTGGGAGATGGTTTCTCCTGTCCTTCAGGCTCTCCCTGTTGGGTATCCTTCACCTTCCTGTTCTTTAAAGAACGCTCTTTCCCAATAGGACCAGGTTTATACTCTTTGTTTTCTACTGGACTCAAGTCTGGAAGCTAAGTTAGTGTTAACTTGTCAGTTATGTCTTCCCCCCTGTGTCCTATCCCACAAGAATACTCTAACATGCTTAAAATAATTTTGTTTAAATCTAACAAAGCCTTCCTGCAGGGTAAGCATTTTCTAACAGATAAATCATTTGAGACTAAGTTAACGATACGTACATGAAATGTACTCATTTTGAACATTAGGAATCTAAACCACTGTTTTCAAGCAATACATGTTTTATGCGAAGTGGCAGAGTTCAACTAAAGTAAGACCTAGTTACAACCTACAGAAGAAAGCCAGCTTGATGTTCCTTACAAGAAAAGCACAAAAAGTATAGAAGCGACAAGGCTTCATATACATACATGTTATTTCAATTTTCAGAGGATCAGGATTTTACAGGGCCCCAGGAAACTAGAACAGAAGACTCTACATTCATTTGAAGATATCTCAATGTAGGCAGCATTTTTCCTTAGGCATTGAGCACTAAGGGGATAACCAGAAAAAAATAAAACACCTACGTGCAAGTGCTGCCTTATATTGCATGGCTGGAATAACTGCTGCAATTCAGCAGTTCCTTTTTGTGCAGCTGAATTAAAGTAAAATGAAGGGCCTCAGGGAACCTGAATGCTCTGCTGTTTAAATAGCTGTATGCTTTCTGGCTGAGATTACCCAGCCCATTTCTCTACACAGCAGCACAAAAACTCCTTAAAGGCAGTCCTTAAAATTGTATTCCTTAAGCTTTGATAGCGGAAAGACAGAAGCAGCTGGTATTGTCTCTATAAACACAAACCAGCTGTTTCAGGAGTAGATGAAGACTCTTTACAACACAATGCCTTTGGGCTTTGGGGAGGGGCGAGTTTCCCAAAGGTATTTGGTACCCTCAGGAGGCCAGCAGAGACCAGCTTTCAGAGGGAAGGAAGAAAACAAGAGTAGAAGCAGATGCCCGAACTCTGCAATGCTACATTCAGGAATATCAGACTCACGTCACCCCAAATATTTTTTGCTGTAACATTTTACACAGGCAGAAATTCCTCCAGACACTTTAAGGTCACACTTGGAAAGGTAAATTGCTTTGTTTCAAGCATGGTCCTCTTACATTGCCCATATTAGTTCAACAATACTAACCTCCAATCCTGAAGTTTGTATTTCGGTTTCACAGCAAACAATATCACCATGGGGGTGGTGCGTGTCTAGGAATTGTTTGTTTGTTGGAATTTTTTTTGTCATCAAGACAGTTAAAGGATTACAGCCCTCTCATTCAGAAGAGTGCACAAAAATGTTAATCTCCAATTAATTTACCATTTAGTCACACATTTGTCTTTCAACAAAATCTACAGGAGTCTTGATAGCTATAACCACACAGAAAAAAGAACATTGTACACAGTCTAGACTCTCTCTCTTTATTTATTTAACTTTGGAGTTCTGTATCTTTAAGCGATTTCATGGGGAGCAGTTGTAGGCATGCTGCTAGTATATCTGAGATAAGAGTTTTGAATGTGCTGGGTTACCACAATTCACTGCGTATTTCTCTGCTGTATAAGTTTTATATTTTACAATAAAAAACAGGAACTGCAGCATATCCACTGAATGCCTCATGTAGCAGAAGTTAAATTAATTCTATGCGCGACTGCACTTTCAGATTTCAGCTTTTTTTGGAGAAAAATATCCAAACAAAACCATCACAAAGAAACACCCAATCTTCTATAAAGACAAGAGGGTTTTAATTACATCAGGATCGCTGCCAAATCTCAGACATCAAGGGGGACTGAAATAGCTGGTTCTGTAAGTCACCAGCCAAGTTTATCCGCTATAACCATCTCTTTCTGGGAGTAAGAAGCTGGTGGTGAGGGTCAGTGATGCACAGGTAAGTATGCATTTGAGGTGGAAATAACAGGAAAGTATGTTTCATTAATGTGAAAGATCACTATGTGTAATCTAAATGACAGGAGGAGAAGGTATTACTCCTTGTGAATGGTAACAATGGAAAGAAGATAATGATCAAATGGAGCCCCTAAATCTCTGGAGGGCAAGCGATTTTTTTTTTTTTTAAAATTAAGTTTGATTACATATTCAATCTTCCTAGATTAGTTGCAAAAAAACTAATTATCCAGACATCTGTGTATTTGAATTTGAGACTTCAAATTAACAGCTCTAACATTCTGCTCTTTCCTCAAAACACTCTTTTCCTGCAACTCGATGTATTACTCCTCTTGGTAATCTGGCTACAAAACTAAGCAGGGCAACATGCACCATTTAGAGGGGGGCAAGGCAGGCATGGTGGCAGTAAGAACTATCAAAACTGGAGATATCGCCAGGGCAGAAACAGAATGTCTGCTTCAAAACAGCTCTCAAAGCCTGAGTGAAGTAAGCTCAACAGAAAACCAAAGAGACATCCACAGTCTCCCAACAAAGCCATCGCAAAGCCATACTCCCATCCCCACTCTAGCCACAACCCTTGCTCCAAACACAGAACCAACAGACAAACTCTGCTGGGCTAGGATGCTCTTTACTTACGCTTGCTTGTTGAACTGAATTCCCCATCTTCTCTCCAAGAACCAACTTGTTGATTGTTTTAGGAAATATAAAAGGGGAATGTAATTTTTATAGGTCTAGTCCTAACTGAATTCCATTATCTGTAACCTCTTTTTGGCTGAACTTCTTTAAGTTTAAAAGCTTGTACTTTTACCTTTTGTGCTTTGATGGGTCCAGCCCGAGGCTGTTTCTGCCTTTGCTCTTTCGGTTCTGGTAGCTTGTCAGTGGACTTCTCAGAAAGTACAGGGCCAACTTCATTGTCACTGCCACTGGAAGCTGGGGCTCCAAACTGAATAGTTTCTATACCAAGATCAACTCCACCTTCTTGCCCAGGCTTTGTCCCCTGGTTAAAAGGTAAACATTTAAAGACATTTCAAAAGATTTCTAGATCAGTACAATGTCAGTGGTTCAGAAAAGAGCACAAAATATGCTCAGATGAAAACCACTAAAAGGCTACTTTTATCTTCTGCCAGCAAAAGTATTATTTGTGACTGCAACAGATTTGCAAGAGTAAACAATATATGAATGTACACTTCCTCCTCCTCAAGTTCCTACTGTTTATACAAGGTCAAGAGTAAGAAAAAAAAAAGCGGTGAAGAAGTATGTAAACAAGATCAAAATGGTGAACTGGTAGAGAAGGGGGAGAGGGACAAGCGCAATATCAAAATGTCCAGATTCAGGTTCACAACATTCTCTTGAAAGTTCAAAAATTAATGTTCAATTCAAGAGGAACAATAAGAAATTAAAAAAATATTTCCAGATCTCCTCACGCAGTTAAAATGGTCTCCTAAGAGACTTATGTCACATTCCTACAGTTTAAAACAATAAAGTCAAGACCAAAAAAGCCCAAGAAAACAAAACCACAGGATTTTAAATGTAAAATTTAGGGCTATGCAAATTCCATGGGATAAGTAGAGCTAATATAGTTAGAAAGCATCCACTACTTTTTTTATCTCTGATCTAAGAAGGGACACAAAAAACATTTAGTTCCTTGGAGATATCCAGTTTCTGTCTACATTACTGAACTGAACACAAGTGTTCACATGCAAATGAGGCAATATTTTTACTTTAAAAAATGCGCTGAATAACAGCTATCAGCAGAATCTGTGAGTGGTTGAGTTTTTATTAAGAGAACAGTTTTTACATGCTGCAATCATAAAAGCACTAGCTTGTATCCTGTGTTTCTGTACTATCTCCTGACTTCATGGAATTCTACACATACTAGCGTAAGTATGTGCATGCCTGAATAAATGGATAATCTGTACCTAATCCCAGTGAGATATAACTTGGGTAAGCTTCACACAGAGCTACTCTTCCCTTTATTCTTACCTCTGGAGATGGAGCTGAACCAAAAGATGTCAAAGGTTTGTTCCAAGCACTGACCGAAGGTGGCTGAGGTGGGCTAATGGGTCCCACTGAAAATTAAGAAAAGAGAGTTAACACCCCCCCATGATGCTAAATGCATTCAACTAAAGTTATCAATTGACTGAGAATTAAATTATAGATGTCTTGATTAAATAAGCTTTCGTTAAGAAAGTGTTAACCTATTCAGCAGTTATCAATATGCTACCTATTTAGCTGCATTCAAGTGAAGCAACCATCATGTTTGGAAGCAGGACCAAGCCTGACAAAACACAGATTCCTTAAGGGAGCGAGAGCTGCTTATTCACAGTGAATGAAGAACAGGACAACAACGTAAAATACTGAGTAATATCAAACTGCAAAAATCTCTTTTCAGAGGTATTCATAGGTTACAACGTTGCACTTAGGAATGCTGCCCTCTATTCACTGTACAAAACACATCTGCAGGTAGAAATGGGACATCAAGACAGAGAGCTGGCCATCAGCATTCTCTAACTACAGTGCTTGCCCCCTGCCCCGAATCCAAAAGGCATCACTTACATTTTTTGGAGATGTCATTCAGAACTGCTGTGGGAGGCACCTTGTTTTCCCATAATTCAGTTCCCAGACCATTGTGAGCCTGGGTGTTTTGCAGAACTTTGCCTGACACTGTGTATTCTGTGCTGGCGATCCCTCCTGCAGCCTGGTTTTGCTGCTGAACAGAAGCCTGTGGCTGACCCGGAGTCTGCGCTGTACATGGAGACTGTGCCTGAGCTTGTGCCTGCTGTGCAGCTGCAGCTGCTGCCTGCTGCTGCTGCTTTTTGGCAAATCTGGGTGGGAGCTTGGAATTCTGACCTCGGCCTTTTTCGCTTGATCCTTTTTTGGTCCAAACCTGTAAGCAGAAGGCAATTTTATTCTTACAGCTGATAGTCTGTATGGACACCAATTGTACACTGTGTGGCAGCAAAAAGCAAACTGATTAACCCTGTCTTAAAGAAGTTTATTTTTTAGGGGTATTTAACCACAGAACAATGATTTCTCATCCATTTTTCTCTTGGAATCAACTGATATACAAGCAATAGTATAAATCTTTACCACAGTATGAAAAATGGCGTTTTCAGTCTGCAAGTTCCACCTGTCTGACAGCACCCAATCAGGAAGTACAGAAACCCAAGATCACCAAGTGAAAATTAATTTAATTTACTAATTCTAAACAACTTAATATTAATACAACTATCTGCTTATATTTATAAGGTGAAAATACAGCTTCTCTGGAAGGAAGATTCTGCCCACTTCACAACATTCCCAGTACTGCAAGGAGCTCTTTCCCACTATAAATACTGGTCTTGTACCTGCACTGTTTGTTCCTCCTTCTTTCTGCGCTCTTCATCTTGCAAACGTTTTTGTTGCTTCTTTGACACCACTTCTGTGAAACCATCATCATTCAAGTTAGATTGGGAGTCTTCAACTACTGTCACTTCAGGGTGATCATCAATGATCACAACACCTATAGAAAAAGGAAAGGTATAGATGCTGCTGTTTTAACAGCTTCAGATGCAGCACACCAAGCCAAAATCTGCTTTGGAGTGGAGGCTATTTCCCCACAGACAGATGGTGGCCCTGATTAAAGGTAAGCTTCCGCTTCCCAAGTGCTTTGCTGTTGGGCTTGAAGACAAGGAGTTAATCTTTAAGAATTGAAAAATCAGAGGTTTCTGTACCAGACCCTCCAGGAAATAAGAACTAAAACATAATAATCAATAATGAACAGCCTTCCCAGATATTAGCTGTAAGTTTATCAGTGATATCCATTGCCTATGCTTATAAAGGTTAAGCAAATTATTAGAGTGCGGTGGAAAATGGTATAAATGACAGAGTTAAGACTAGATGATAGAACAAAATTGCTCTTCTCTATACATAAAAACACACAATGAGATTTGCCACGTTTTAGAGGCACATATGTTGTTTATTAGATATGACAAAGGTAGCAATCCTCAAACACACAACTATTCTGGAGTTTTAAAAAAAACCTTCTCTTTTGTTAAGTTTTCAAACATCTAACTCTACATGCAATATAGCTAGCAGGATTACAAATTCTTGTTAGCATATTATCAATACTTACTTGCATAATTATTAAGATCAAATTGAGACAAGGCATCCACTTTTTCCTTAGGCTTCTTTGGACCAGCCTTCGGTTCTTCTCTCTTTTTTCCACTTGCATCCTTGGTGCTCTTTTGTCCTGCAGCAGTAACACCTCCTTCGTCCTGATGTAAAGAGTTGCTGTTGGTGGAATCAACACCAGGCACAGCTGCTGGCTGCTCTTCAAATGGCCTGTATTAGAAAAAAATTAAGAAAATTAATGACCAGCCACAGAGAACACCCAGGAAGGAGCTAGCAATCTAATGCAAATCCCATTACAGGGCTATAAGTGTCTACTGTGCAACTTCTTAGTAAGCTCCAGACTTTTACTTTCAGCTCCTCAACAAGAAGCAGCTTAACAGCAAAAGCTGGTTTAGAGTCATATCAAATGCCCTGCTGTCAAAAAGAATCAGAGGAAAAAAAAAAAAGAGCATAATTTGAAGGTCACCTCTGGCTTGGTCTCAATAGTTAAGAGGTACCAAAACTCAACTATGCAGTTCAGTAGACTTCAACTGCAGTAAAGCCTTCCATGGAAAAACACAAAACAAAACCAAAATCCAATCCAAACCCAACAGAAGCTTACACTATGCAATGTGGGCAAATATAAACAAGCCTGCTCTACAGGCTCACTTGTCAAAAGCTACCTGAAGCCATAAAAGTCAAGTTTGCAGCATTCTGACTTTGCTGTAGGACCTGGAATACCCAATTTTTGCTTCAACATCACCTGTAAGTGACTAGCCAAAGGAACTCTTAATAGTGTTAACTCAGAGGTTAAAGCATTGATCACAAGTTTTTAAACCTGAACTTAGAATACAGTAACCTACAAGCACAAGAGTCCCAGAGTACAAGGTAGGCATTCAATGAAGAAATGTCTTGTCCTGCCTCCCACTTACCAGACTACTGTGCACTATGGCTACAAACCAGTGGACAAATAGCAACATTAACTAATTGTCAAGTTTCAATCAAATTTATCACACAGAGAAACAAAGTTTAGTTGCAAAGGCAAGCATTTCTCAACATGCCTGTCTTTGTTAGGTGATTGATCTAAAATGCAATGCAGCAATTTATGTATTAACTGCAAAATTGCTCACATTAACATTTCAGCTTGCATCCAAATCTTGAGAAAGAATGCTTGACTCAGAAATAGCACTGCAAATTTTTTTAATTAGGCATTTTTAGCACTCTGCATACAAGAATACTCTGCTTAGCTCCATGTTCCAAGTGTCTGTATACAAACAGAGAAAACAGAAAGTACACAGCCATAGGTACATGTGCTTGTCCTACTCTCTTTTCTACCATTCTATAAATCTAAAATAACTACTTATGATTTTGAACAAGAGGATAACAGAAGACCATGACCATGTGTGCTTCCTAACAGAAGCTGGTACTCACCCTCTTTTTCCACTTCTGGGTGGAGGACCACTCCGTCTCTCACTCCTAGGCCCTGAGAAGTTCCTCCCCGGTTTAGCTGGCCCGTTGTTGCCACGTCGGTTTTGACGGTCTATGCCAGGCCGCTGACTAGAAAAACTTCTTTTGGCTATTTCCCTTTTTGGAGCTCCAGCGTTTTCCCCTGCCTTTGCAGCCGCTTGTGCTGCTACATCTGCTGTTTTCTTCTCATCCCTCTCGCGCCTCTCATTGAAGTCGCTGCTTTCTGAGGCTGTTTCCCACTCTTCATTTGCCTGGTCTGAAGAATTCTGGTTGGACAAGTCTGGTGTCTTACTTCCCGACACATCCAGAGCAGTGCTGGAGGGCTCATTAACTGCATTACTAACTGTGGCACTTGTTGATGAGCTGGTTACCGCCTCATTTATCTTTGATGCAGCCTCTCTTTCTTTTAGGCGCCTAAAGCGTGGTGGCTTATCTTGCCTTGGAGGTCGAGCAGGCCTTTGTCTTCGTGGCCTCTCTCTATTTGGATCAAACTTTCTCTCAAATTTTGGAGGTCTTTTATCAACTGGTATAGGACCATAATGTTCATTTCTTCTTGGAGGCTCCCCATCTTCTGGTTTAATGATCTCTGTTTGCCTAGGATTCCACTGATTGTCTCTGTAGGCTGGTCTCCTTATTGTGGATGGGCGTGGAGGACGCCCACCAGGATCCCGGCCACCGCGTCTATACATTCCCCCTCTGCCCCGTCTAGAAGGCTCTCCTTTAGGCAGAAATCCTGGTTTGGGTTTGTTCTCATCATCTCTTATATATGTTTTTTCTAGGGATCTGTTGTCTACTCTGATACTGTTTTCAGGTTTGAATGACAGGGGCTTTGAAGGTTTCTTGCCATCAGCTCTCTCTTCTCTTTTTGGGTGCTTGCCTTTAATTAGACTGTCTTTGTCTGAAAGGAGTGTGTCACTTGCGCTTTCATGGACTTCGCTGTCAGAATCTGTCTCTGAACCATGCTGCCGCCGCCGTTTTGGGATTACTTCAAAGTCAGAACTCTCACTACGAGTTTCGCTCTCTTCTCTTTGCCTAACAGGCCCCAAAGGCACATGGTCTGATCTAGGCTTAGGATCTCTGTAGTGTGGGTACTCTCTATTATGGCCTCTACTGCCCCGACCACGTCCTCCGTAAGAACCCCTGTAGCTACGACCTCTAGAATAATACTCCCCACGACCTCTGCCTCGGTATCCCTGATCTGGGAACCAGTCTCTATCCCTAGCCTCTTTCCAGTATGTCCTAGGTGGCAAGCCAGGCTCTCTTTTTACTGGTCTGGTTTCTAAGCGTGGTTTTTCTACAACCTCCTTGCTAACTACCTTCTCAGCCTGCTTTTCTTCCTTCACTGTAGTAGCTGGCTGCTGAACGTGTGGCTGCTGCTGTGCTGCTGGTTGAGCAGGCGGCTGCTGCTGTACTGCAGGGGGAAGCTGTGGAGTAGCAGGCTGGGCAGCTGGTAGCTGCTGCTGGACTGGAGGTGTGGGTGGCTGAACCAGAGCTTTAGCTGCGGTCTCGGTTTGGCTGCCTTCCTGGCTTGCTGGTGTCAGAGCAGCATCCTGGGTTACCTTCTTAGCCAGAGGAGTGCTGCCGGAGGTCGATGTCTCTGGCTCAGCCTGAGGTGGTGGCACTTGAGGTGCTTCCTTCTTGTCACTTTTTTCAGACTTGCTAGGTTTTTCACTAGTTGTCTTTTCTTCTTTCTCCTTCCTCTGCTCACGCTCTTCTCTCTGTTCACGTTCTTCCTTCATATCTCTAAGCACAGGTTTTTTAATAGGACCCGATCTTCTCACTGGTCTATCGCCGCCTTCGTCTCTCCTGCCATAACCTGGCCTAGGACCCCATCTTGTTTCAGACTTAGGTTTGAAAGTTTTTTCAGGTTTTGGTCCTTCTGATGTTCTATTATTAATCAAAATCTCTTTTTTTGGCTTAATCTCAAGTCTCTCAATTGTCTCCTTTGTCTCAATAGGTCTGTTATTTAATTTAGGGATATTTGTTGCTGCCTCGTTCCTCTGGTCTTCTGATTTTAGAGAGTGACTTGAACCATGGGAAATGCTTCTCTTTAGTGAAGAGTGACTTTCTCCCACAGGCATCAATTCTTCTGGAGAGCTATGTGTAACTTTCTCATTCACTCCTTCAAAATTAACTGCCGCATTAGACGTGTCAGTTTGGAGAGGCTGTACATCTTCCAAAGGCCTGCTTGGGAACTTTTGTACCTCCACCTCTCCTGATTCTCTGAAAAAGTCTGGTTTTGGATGAGAGTCCAGCTGGTTGTGTTCTACAGGATAAGCAGTGGCAGGGACAGCAACTCGCTCTTGCTCCAAGTGTGCCTCAGACCTAAGCAGCAAGCAATTAAGAATGTTAGGGTGGGAGAAAAAAAAAAATCTTACTCATAAATATTTTACTTAAGTCACTTTCTAGTTCTATGAAGGACTAGTGTCACCTCCAGGGAAAAAACAGGTATTAATTTTCATAGTGGCTGCTAGTTGTAGAGGTCAATTTTATTCTATCCTGATTAAGAGTTCAGTGTCAAATGTACAATTAGCTATAGGAATCCATTATTGTTAATGGCTATACATGCAATTTTAAACGGAGCCCCCAAGTTAGCAGGCTACTATCACAAGTATTACCCAGACAGCAGCACAGAAAAAAAAGAATTTTGGGGTACTTTTAAGATGTAGAGGAAGCCTTCCTGACCATTCATCATGCAGCAAAGGTCAAAAGTGACTGTCTTGCTTTATACCACTTGTACTTAACACACCATTTTTGAAACTAATATACATTAGACAGAAGTTCTCTGATATGGGGAGGATGCAGAGCAGATGGAGAACAGGACAACACTGTAGGAGTGTTCTACAAAACTGAAAATTCAAGATATTACGGCAATCACCATTCATCAAATCAGGTTAAGGATCCTAAACAAGGGCTAAATTGTCTTTCTACACCCTACTACAGAGCAGGCACAGTGCCAAGTACGCTGCATCCTCCAGTCACAACTCCTTTTAAAGTTCTGTGTGAAGAGCAGCTATAACTCGGTCACTGTAAACTGTGTTTTGCAACCTAAGCCAAGGGCGTAAGTACGTATGGTTTGGGGAAGTGACACGCAGGAGTACATAACTCAGTCTTACCTCAAATCATCAGGCTCTTCTAACACTTTTGGAGGAGAACTAGATTGCTGAGGTTCTGCATGGGGGTACGGGTCTGACCCCCACATCATGCGGGGCTCTGACAAAGGAACAGCATGCTCTCTTGCTGAGCGAGCTATATGTTCAAATGAGTCTGAACTAGTTGCTGATCCCTCTATCTGGTCTCTTCTCATCAGCGGTTTGGGAGGCATAATTCCTGTGACAGATTTAAGTTCAACAATCGAAATAAGTTTAACATTAGCAAAGAAACCTACCTCAAGACAAACCATATCAGGAGGTACTGAAGAACACTATTCTCTCTCCTCCGATCTCCTTTCCTCTGTCCCTTCCATTGTTGAAACCAAATGTCTATTCACTGCCAGTTGACCTCAGAATGACTAAATCACATTCACCACTAGTACCCTATGTACCAACAAAAGGAAAAGCTGTCTGCTTCCACTACAATGGGAAGAACCAGGTCTGTAGACCTGTAAACCTGTGGATGAAATTTCTGCCGTAAGACTTGAATGGCAAAAAGCAAGATGAGTGTACACACAGGTGGGTTTTTTGTATTCTATTAAGTAGAGTCCCTTTTTTTCTGTAACATTTGAAAGAAATTCTACAGTTTTCACTGTCTTTGCTTAGCCTGCCATTTCCTCTGTTCATTCCTTGCACTCATTCAGTATACCCATTCCCTTGCTAATTAGCTGGATAAGTATCTCAGTTACATTACATGCCAGAGTTGTATTATTTATGGACAATAGCTCTCCAAACTCCAAGTCAGATGGCCATTCCACAAATAAAAAAGGATTTTTTTAGTGCCAAGAAACTGAAAACACAAATTTAGTAAGACTCTAGAGATGCTAATACATAATTTGAAAATAACAAAATTTCATGGGTTTTTTTCGTAAGTAATGCAGCATCGAGCGCTAACATGTAATGAAACACAAATGGTAAATACACTGGTTTTTCTCAAAGTAAGGCTTATGCTGACGGTCTGAATACATCCTTAGCTGTCACTAACATGCCTGCAATATGAAAGCTGTGGTTTTACTTTATAGTCGAAGATATATGCTGACACAAGACTATCATTTTTCCCGTATTACTAAAAATCTATTTTGTGTCAAACAATGCAATAATTTAGTTTTCTTTTTAAAAAACCCACCCATTTGCTGTTACTATACATAGCGTGGTTAGGGAAGGACTTCTATTTCAAAACCAAGAAAGTTCAACAGTCAAAACATGCTGCCAGATTTTACCCGGATGAATAGGAGGCATATCCATTGCAGGTCTTCCTGACATTATTCGTGGGTCCATGTAGGACTGCATCATAAGCCACCGTGGATCGAAGCCCATTGAAGCTAAATGCTGAGGATGTGGCTGCATGGGCTGGTAAAGAGGTCTGTGCTGGGGAGGTGGGACAGGGCCACTAGAAGGCTGTGAGGGAGCAGACTGTGGAAGGACACCTTGCTGTTGTTGCTGCCACTGCTGCTGTTTCATTTGCTCCTGCATAACAGGAAACAGTATTACAAGACTTCTTGTTAAGATGAAGACTTGAGCAGAATCCAAATAACCCTTGGAAACAAGTAGTACAGTTATCTCCAGGACACTAAGTATTCTGAAAGTTAATCGCAAACATGCATCAGGATGAACTAGGAGAAAAGGGAGAAAACCAGACTGGACAATTTAGAACAGCTACAGTTTTGCTGGTGTTCAGCTGAGACACAGAACAACCTATACTTCGCGCATGTCATTAATGCAAAGTGCTCTTCAGACCATAGGACCCAAGTCTAAATTACACTTGGGAGTGTGACAGCCTTTACAGGAAAAGATGCAGAAACAATGATAATCAGGCCCAGGTTCCACAGGCAACCACAGGGCAATGCTCTACTTCCAGCAACTAATGCAAAAACCGGCCAGTTTTAAAAGCCTCTCTTGCTTTCTGCTCACTTACATACTTTGCAAGGGACAAGAAGTGGTTCATCCAAAGCAATTCCTGCCAATACCACAGACATTATAGAAGCTAGAAACTAACAACTTAGGCTTTTTAAAACTCCTACGGTCACATTCTCACGCAGAATGAGGCAGAAGATGCCATTCTTTTAATGAGCTTCCTTCTTTTAATGGACTGGTTACTTACCTGCTGCCTCTGAAATCTTGGTGGTAACGATTTCTGGAACTGTTTAGAATAGCCCGAGGAAACAGCAGGACGAGGCTGAGCTCCCGATTCTGGCTCACTCTCATGAGTGACCTGTGAAATCTCTTTCTCATTCCGACCACTATCTTGTCGGGTAAAGATTGTCTGATCTTCTGAAAAAAAAACCAACAAACCCGCATGTAGGAGACAAGAGTGAATCCTAAAACTATGACAATTTCACCATAACATCAGATAAAGGACGTTGTTCTAAAAAGAAAAGTCTGCCTTCTCTTTAGTTTCCAAAAACCAATAAAGGCAAAAAAAGTTAAGAACGACCCCTCAAAACAGAACAATTGTTGTTAATACATCTCAGTGTCCCTTTTAAACTCAAATACACTGGGTAATCAACCACTGGCATTTAGGTTGTAGCTATTACGTGATTTAAGAAGTGCTGTATCTATGCTACTATATTACATTGGAATCAACTTTTTTATGAACCAAGGTTTGGTTTTACAATCACTTTTATCCATTTAAAATATAACACAACCTTATTAAGCATAGTCTAACAGTTCTCTTGTGGCATTCAAGTTCCACCACAAAACAAATGCACCAAGTTTAAATATGTGCCCTTCGTGTCTATTTCTCTAGACTTGCTGAAAGAACAGAATGGAAATAATTTACATTGCTTTTTAGCAACATGAATTGCTGATCCTCTAGCAAGAAAAGAAAGCCTCCTTTTATTTCTGTATTCTTCAAAGTCCAGCCTAAATCACAGAACCCAATTTTTCCTTTAATGTTTTGATGAGATGGACAAACAGGTCTAGCACAAAGGACAGTTAGCAGCTGTAATGTGCCAGGAAAATAAATGGTCTAGATGCACTAGGTTAATTAGGTATGCAAATTAGACTCGTAGATTACAACGATGCTCTGTGGCTCTGCTTTAAGACAGACAACTTCTACTTGCATGCAAACATACCTTTTTCTTCCTTGTTATTCCTGGTTTCACTTTCTTGTTTTTCTACTACTACACGTGTTGCCACAGGTTCTACAGGCTCAGGAACCTCATGGGCTGGTTTCTCCTCTTCTTTCTCTTTCTCATCTTCCTTATCTTCTTTCTCCATCTCCTTTTCTTTCTCTTTCTCTCCTTCTTGTTCTTTTCCTGTCTCCAGTTTTTCTTTTTCTTCCTTTTCTTTTTCCTTCTCCCTTTCCCTTTCTTTTTCCTTTTCCTTCTCCTTCTCCCTTTCTCTCTCCCTCTCCCGCTCCCTTTCTCTTTCTCGCTCCCTCTCTCTCTCCCTTTCCCTCTCCCGTTCTCTCTCTTTCAGAGGGTCTTCCCGGGAGGGTTTTGTCACAATGCCAAATTTCTCATTTAACCGTTTTAGCTTTTCAGCACAAGCTGCTTTTCGCTGTTCTTCCATTCTTCTTTCTTCCTCTTCTCGTCGCTTACGGGCTCGCTCAACTGCAGCGGATATCTCTGACTGCTGTCTTCTCCTCTGTTTCCAAATTTCATCTTCATCTGGTACTGGTTTAGGGGGAAAGGGTCCCTGCCTTCCAGGTCCTACCTGGCGATCAGGGGGAGGAGGGTGCTGCAATATTAAAATCAGTTAAGTCAAGTTGAACATGTATTATATAAACAGCCAGCTGAAATACTACATTTTAACTATTTGTCAACACATGTATTTGCATGGCATCTTTAAAAAGCAACATTTGGAAGAAAAAGCAAGCCCGCATCTTCCTGTTCCAGTTCAGACTCAGCAACCTGAGCTCAGAAAGGAGAGATAAAGATTCAGTTTGGCTCATGTCACTCCTCCTCCCCATCATCAAGGTAAAGTTTGTCATCTTTGCTGTCACATCTTTTAGATTTAGTTACAGGCTGCTCTAAATCACAGAGACTCGGGGAAGATCTCAGACAAAAGTCCCCCAAGGAGTCCAAGAAATTCAAGGTAGCTCAGGACAACAGAGATTTTAATAAAGGCTCTTGAAAATTGCTAAGAAGCTACTACGTACACATTTCATTTGGGACTTCATCTCCCCATCTGCCTCAGCAGCCAGCTCTCCAGCACTGTTCCCATGCCCCTGTCCTTTCTACTTGCCAAATGAGGCTGGGTAACTGAAAGCTCTCGAAGTACTCATGCATTTCATATGCTGCTTACGAGATGGGGCTGCTTTACACAATTGGCAGCACAGCGGTGCTGGGGTCCCATTCTTACTGGCCCCAGGCACTACAATCATTTTACTTGTTAGAGAGAAAAGGCTTAACCCTACATGAAGCATATTTTTACTTTTCTTAGTCTAAATCCCTCCACCAGAGTGTTAAAGAATTTTAACTCAACGAAATAAGAACAATTCTTATCTTTCTTACCGGTGGCAGAATAGATTTCGGATGAAGAGCAGGACCACCTCTTTCATGTATAGAAGGCTGTGCTGGACCCCGATCCTATTGGATCAAACACAGTACCAGGGTTAAGTAAGCTCATAACAACAGTCAAGTCTGACAGATTTTAGATTTGGAGTTTTCAACTGCATTAAGATACTACGCCTGGTGAACTATCTGCATACAACACAAATTTCCATGCAAAACAACGGCAAGAACATTTCCACTTTATGTACTGAAATCTAAACAATTTAAAAATTCACACATTCAAATTTCAGAGTTTATGTTACTGCATTGTTTTTCCTCAGATTCAATGTAGCATCAAACCCTGAAACACAACGTGATCTTACATATACAGAAAGTGCAAGTAAAGGCAATTCAAGATCAAAATTCAAACAGGGCTGAAGCAGGCATAAGCTGAGGTGGTTGCCAATCTAGAGGCTACACTAAAACCCCAAAATGGCTGAGCTGATGAATTCTGCACATTCTGTATAAAATCTATCTGCCTGAGATGTCAGAAGTGAGCTGACACATTACTGCTAAGTTGCACTGAAGAAAGTGGGTCATGATACTGAAAAACACCCCACACCCAAGAAAAACATGTGGGCCAACCAAGCACCATTTATTCTGTGCCACTATAAAACATGATGGACACCAGAACAGCATCATTCACCATTGCAGGGATGGACAGACAAGAGTATCTAGTTAAAGCCTGTCAGTGGAGTCACAGTAACCGACACGAGTTCTCACTCCCTCACAACTGCGAATTAGAACACACTAGATAAAGACATGCTATTTTTATTTTGCAACCAGAAGCAGCTAAGTTGACTAAGCAGTACGCTATCAGTTACCACAGCTCAGACAATGCTTTCAGTAGCTAATGCTTTCACTCATGTTCACATTCTTAACTGACCTGACGGTTTGAAAAGACACCCAAGTCGGCCCTCTCCTGACAAGGCTGTTGCCAGAAGAGCTGGATAAGAACGTACAAACCTGATCAAGCTGAGAGCTTTTGCCGTAAGACCCTTTGGTTGCTGCTGTGGAAACCTGGGTGGTTGACTTAGCACTCGTCTGTTCTTCTGCTTCCTTCTGGCCATCAGGACTCTGGGAATCTTTTGATGGTGTTTGTTCATCACTATGCGCAAAGAAATAAGAAAAATGGAAGGTGTACTCCACAGGTATTTTGTGATATATATTCTATCCTCAGTGTTTCTTGGCAAGCGATAAAGTTCCTCACAGCAAGGATAATTTCTACTACACACCCAGCTAACTGGAGTCTGCAGGCAGTTATACCGTTTAATACAGTATTAAATTACTGGAATAATATTATTGGAATGAGTACTTGCACTCATTTCATTCAACCTTCCCAAAAAGCTAGTTAAGCAGCATTCACACCCAAATGGCAACACCAACTCACCCACTTTCCTTCTCTTTTTGACTACTTCCTTGCTCATCATCATCACTGAAGTTCAGCTGCTCAGTGTAATCCACTTCACTCTGAGCACCTGATGCATAAGCAAATATTCAATTAATCTTTCAGAAAGATTCAATGTACAAATAACAGAAACTTTTAATCTGATGTTCTTACCTGCCCAGCCTTCATCGGCCTCAGCATCTAGATTATCAAATTTATCAAGTTCTTTAAGTTCACTAGCACTTAGAATGGATGGGCGCTCAATAGGTTCTGAACACCATGAAGGTGGTCCTCTTCCCCTTGGCCCTCTAAAAAAAGAGAGAGGAACAAAGGTCATTGTCACTATTTAGCCACAAAACAACTACATAAAAGGTCAACTTGTATGACAATTATCTGAAGTACACAGCCCTGTTTTTTCAAATACAGTATATGTGTGAACTATCAACCACATGTGTGACTATTGTAGTTCAAATAATTACTGCTACACCACTGGATGGTTCTTTATGGAAGAGAAAGATTAGATGCTATTGCCTTGCTTGCACACTTTACAAACAAGCCAAACATCAGGTGACAGTACAAAACCACATGCCTTGTAGCTTTCAAACAACACACTGCATAGATCTGGCATCCTTCTTAACACCAACTTATCCACCTCAGAGATATTTCTTTACACTTCTCATGCTTTGCCACTGTCACAGATTCTGCACCTTCTGTACAAGTTCTCCCAGTCCCTCTCAGCTTTTCTGTCCTCTTCCTGATCCCAACCACAGACCACTTGTTAAAGTTTGTACCCTACCACCTGCAGCATCCCCTATTTCCCCATGCATGTCCACAGCCATCCTCAACTACGGAGAAATACACAGAAAGGAAGAAAACTAAATTTATAATGCATTATAGTTCTACTTCAATTGGACAGCAGTAGAGTTGAGAATCAGGAATTAACTACTTTCATTACAACAATGGAAGAGTCCTTTTACAGGTAAAATACTGTTTGAAGTTTCAAAGGTGTCCCCAAGTGACTCTTGCTCTTCCCAACCAAAAACTCTGTAATGTGCAGAATTCCCTGAAGTTTTGCAGGCGAGTTGTCAAACACAAATCACTCCATGGTACCGCTCCACACAAGTCAAACTTGTGAGGCCAACCAGTGGCAGCTCTTATGCAATGTATAATCATATTCAAGATACTTGGTGCAAATTTCTCCCCCTTTTTTCTTTTTAATTCAGTCACAAACAGAGCTCATACCCACACAACAGTAACACTTGTAAGATTTCTTACCTGTTAGGCTCAGAATTGGGAAACCTTGTTGGACCTTGCATGGAAGGAGGATATGCCATTCTAGGATACTGATTAAACATCTAAGAAAAGGTTTAAAGACAGGAGCCATTCGTTAAAAGATGTTATTGCATTAAGCATACTGAGATCATCAAAGGAATCACAATGGAAGTAAGGCAAGACACTTCATTCAAGACAGTTTGCTTAGTATCACAAGGGTGCGGTGTCAAGTCACCACAGTGAAGTGATTACAAGTGTTAACCAACTCCTGACAAGTTCAAACTCAGTGTAGCAGGAGTGGCAACAGGTAGCCACAGCCTTGGAGGAGTTGGTTGCAATCCCACCATTCTAGCAGAACTGCTAAGTGTTTGTCCCATGGATAGAAGAGAAAAGGGCATAAGGAAATCACACTAGCCAGCAATCAATCCCTCCTGTTTAAACACTTTTCATGTAACCATCACTTACATAAGGTGGCATCATTGCTCTGTACTGAGATGAGATAGGTGGTTGCTGCTGGCCATTCAGCTTGGGCTGAGGGACCTGTGGTAACCGCACATCCCTCTTCTCTGTTGCCTTCTGGCCATCATTTTGTTCTGCTGGTGTACCATTACCATCTTCTTGTCCAAGAGCCTTAGCTTCTTGATCAGTTGGAGAACCGGGCGAGTTGCTCTTATTACCACCTTCTCTCCAACTAGTAGCATCTGCGTGAACAGAATCAGTAGGAGAAAAAACAGGAACAGACTTTATATTACAGATTTACAGACAGGCATGATGAAAAACACATGCTTCCTACCCAGTTTTCACTGACACAGCGGTCTGTGCAGACGCACATTCATATTTGGTACTGAAACAAGCAATGGTCACTTGAAAAAACAGAGGTTGTTTTCTAATCCTCTTCAGCCCTACATCCAACTGTGTTCCTGAAGGGTTAGAGTTAAATTTATAGACTGCTCTAGTTCTCCTGCTCTACCTTCCAAAACACAATGTAATTTAGGAAGGATACTGATAATAGCACAGGAGAGAAAAACAGATTTAGCTGTGGTAAGTGGGCCACCGTTGACTCAGTGTGAAGATGCTGACGAGGGAAAGATCAAGTTTCTTAAGCAGCAAAAGCCTACCATGAAACTCTCAAGCAGCTCAAAATGACCTATACCTGTGCATTATCTTTCTAAGTGAAGACAGGTATCCAGAGTCTGGCTTGTATCTGTCTGATAAGGATGGAACAGAAGTGATGAGGGCTGTACTTATGTGTGTGAACGTCTAGCAAAAAGTCCAGGAAAAGTAAGGGATTTTAATGACCTATCACTTGTGCCAGGTAGTCTATTCTTTTAGGAGTTTCTGCCTACAGAGCACTGGTTAGGACAAAAAAAAAAGTAAACTTAGCAGCAGTGCTCAGATCCATGGGTACCAACAAAAATTCAGAGACACACTGTAAATATGTTCCTTTAGGGGCACAAGCCCTTTAAGCAGTGTTAAACTATGCTCCCAAGTATCCATTACAGTTCTTCCACTTATCTTTGCTGGGGAGCACAGCTGCTAAAGGGGCAGTACTTGCCAAGCTCATTTAGCTTTCTGCTGTCAGACCTGAAAAAAGGGCTTAATATAGCATGCACACTGCTGACCAAAACTGTAACTGCCTGCAGGTGGCTGCAACAGACATGCGTAGCTATTTTTCTAATTTAGTGTTGGACACCTCTCGAATTTCTTGACAACTTATTCTTTACATCAAAAATCAACTGAGGATCTGAAAAATCACATGGCCTCAAGTCTGCAGGGACCTGAGAAACAAATGAAGGAAAACTGAGGCCTGTAGCACAGAAAGGAGTTAAGGATTTCCCAAAACCCCAAGCCCTCTAAAAGCAGTGAACATCTTGACTATCACTGACACAAGACAGTGCCACCTACAGTGCAGGAAAGGAACCCTAGTCCATCCAACCTCACAGAAAACAAACTTTTGAGGAAAAAAGGAATCCTGCTTCTCACTGGAAACAAGAACAATCCCAAATGTTTCCTCATTAAAAGGATTTGGGGAAGAAGTACACATTTCTTCACTGAGACATGTAAAAACAGCACTGTTATGGTTGTTTTCACTAGCTCTAATCCCTCACAGCTGAAACAGATCTAGCTAGTCAGAGCACCTCAGCCATGAGCTAAAGATGACAATGCCTTTCAAATCACACTCCACTCTTTTGGTATCCTGTAGATTAGTAAACTTCCAATTCAGGATTTTTTCAGACTACTGTCTTATGAGTACTAACCATTTGGGGACAATACCAATGATGATTTATATACTTATTTAATATTAGGACAGTTCTTTAAATACATATTTTAGCTCTTGTGACATCTAGCAGCCGGAAGTAAGAAAATGACAGTATTGTGCAAGCAACAAGTGTTCCTCAGAGCACAAGTGGAGTACTGACTAGGTTGGGAAAATGGAAAGTGAACTGCCAGGAGAGGATTAAATACCGTATTTTCCACACACCAGGAACACACTAAAGCAGAAGAAAGCCCCCCAAAATATGTTTCTTCAGTGTAGGAGTGTGTTGATTAAAACAATTCATCAATTTATTTTGTACAGCCCACGAGTAATCTTTTAGTAAAAAAGTCCACACAAACCCATGCAATTTCACAAATATTTGTAGTATATACTTACTTTGTGGTCGCAAGTTGGGTCCTGATCCATGGAGCTCTTCAGGTGCATCTTTCTCTTTGCCTGACTTTTCTTGATCCCCAGCTGCCGGCAGACTGGGAAACTCTTGCTGGAAATAACTATTTACTTGAATAGGTGGACCTACACAGTAAGATATTCACAAAGTCACAACTTTCTGTAGTCAAAACAGTTCAGAAAGTGATAAAAGCCTGATCATCCTTAAAAAGTGAACGTTAAAGTCACATTAATTTACTGGTAACATAATTCACACAAGTGAAGAGCAATCCTTGTAAAAGATTCACATTTACTACCAAAGTTGTTAAATTTACTAGGCCTACTATCACTCCTATTGGGGCTGAGAAAAATCCAGAAGCACCAGAGAGCAATAACAGACAATGGAACAAAACTTAACTTGGGGAGTACCTGAAGTTCCTCAGCTCTGTTAATATTTTTTTTTTCCCTCCTCCATCCAAAAACTTCCCTCATTTTATTCTACAACTATAGTCAATTCAAAAATGGGCATCTATGTTATTGCAAAAAGCCCTTAGGTTAATTACTGTTCTAATAACAAATAATTCTTCAGGACTTTAAAAGGCCACAGCTTTTACATTATGATAAAAGTATCAGAACTGTAGTATTCTTCGATTTCTAAAACCCTTGACATCATAACTCAGGATTGGAATTTAAGACTTCTGTGCACATGGTAGGGAACTCAAATATATAGACTGTCTTCCTCTTCAGAAGGTTTTGTTAGCATCTACTTTGAATCAATTTCTCCCCCTCCATACACATCATGGATATTGACCTATTAGGTCAATAGCATTCTAGTACCAAATCACTGATAATCTTACCAAGGGAAGATTTCTATTCCAATAGCCTGAATAACACTGTTTTCCTATATCTGTCTTTACTACTAGCTACTATAAGGGACATCGTATTAGGCTATAAGGCTATAAGGTAAACTCACAAAAAAGGATCTGAACATATGCTGTCCAAAACCCTCCAAACTCTATGATAGGCTCTTTTTTTTAGCTAACAGCTAGAAAAGCTTCTGTTGTCTCTGATTCATGAAAGAATCCTCTGTAACAACAAAATGCAGGGATCCCGATTTTTTTAAGATTCAGAGTCAAGCACAGGATAAACGCCTCACTCTTTACCACTGTTTATCCCTGTGCCTACAAATTGCCTCAATCTTTCAATCTTCATTCTAACTTCATGTACTACAGATCACATTACCTTGGTTTTTGTTAATGGGCATTGGACTCTTTTGACCTTTGCAAGCAGCTATGTCCAACGACTTGCTTAATGGGACTGAAAACCGCAGTCACACTAACCAGATGGCCTGCCAGGCAAGGGAGCCTCTCCAGAGGTCCTGTGGCATGCAACATTCATGAGTTCTACAAATCTTCAAAAATGTCTTCCGCTCAAGTCTACACAGTACCAGCAACAATACTTAGTTGCAAAGTAATAGCGTCTTCAGTGATCCGCTTGACTGCGCTTAAGCTATCAACCTGAAACAGCCAGATTGTCAGCCAACAGTTCAGAAGGAACTTAAAGAATACAGAGATGTTATGGCAGCAATTAACCCCAACTTTTAGCCAATGCATGAGCTGAAAAATACATGCTGCCATTACATTTTAGAAGTCTTTCCTTTCTACATGGCCACCAACAGCATCAGAAAAGGATTTAGTCTTGCCTCACTCAACTGAAGTCATAATTACAAGTGCATGAGGCAGACAGCTGAACGACTGCTGGAACGTGTACAAGGAAAAACAACAAGTTCCACCAGCCAACTGCAGATCAGGAAAGGATGAGCACAACAGGTGTATCCCAAGTTTCTAACTGAGGAAGACAGCAAGCAGCTGATGCCAATTCACATTCTGTATTTCTTCTTGAAACAGCAAACTCACTACTGCATTAATTGAATGAAATGAGGGCTCCATCTGGGCTTGGCACACAAGCTGCCATGGTAACTACAAAATAATTAGCTAAATGCATTCTGAAGCCACTGAGCCAAATCACTATTTCCTGTGTCATAGAGACGATCTTACCAGCTTATGTAGAAAGGCTGGTATGCAGATCACTTTGCAGTGTTAATTCTTTTTTTTATTCTACAAAAATCCTGTAAAAGCTTAAAGGAGGAGAATAATACAGGATATTATATAAATATAGGAACCTATATTTGACTACAAAGGAAACACCAAACATTACAAAGGACAACAAGAAGTGGAGAATTTAGAACTGTTGCTTCTAATACTTACTGCAGAAAAAGGCAAAATCTTTGGACATGTGATGTTAAACTCCATATAACGGCTTAGAAGTTACCTCCATGCAATTCAGGTTTTACTTTTCTAAGATCTCTAACTTGGAAGCCAAAACTCTATATTATAGCCAAAGAAAGCTTGCAAGTCTCACATTTAAGCACTAAAACATGTCATGGGTTATTTTTCATAATGGACACACAGGAATTCTAAGTAACTCCTCACTCTACAAGCAATTTAAAAAATCTGCTGAAGATTCAGCTCTGACCTTACATCCTGTAATGAAAACACTCAAGCTAACATTCACATTGATGGAAATAGTTCTCCACTCTTTCATACAATTACTCTAAAAAAAGCCCAACAAACCTTTAACGATTTTCCCAGAAAAACCCCTACTTGAACACTATCACTTTGAAACCAAAATAACCAAAGAATCTATAAAATAAAGGGAAAACTATTGCTGTACCAGACATTTACATAGAAGCAAGACTACAAACAATTTGCACAAAATGATCCAAAATTATGATTAGAACGACTGCTGTTTATGGTTCTCCTTTCCATGCCAAAACTGTATGCATTATAACTACTAACCAAGATTTTCCCTCCTGTCCACAGCCATGTTCAAGACCACCATCATCTCCCTCTCAATCCAAAAGAGGTGACTATACCAGTCCTTTAAAAGACAGTCAGACCTGCTGCTACATCAGGCTGGAGCCCACTTGAGTGACAGGAGACCAGCTCACCTTCCAGCCAAGAAAGCTGCTTCCACAGCATTTGTAGTTCAGTTCCAACTGGTCTGATCAAGACTCAAACAGTTGCTGAATCTGGGGGTCTCTCACAGCAGCATTCACAGTCTGCTAGGCCAGTCAAGAACCCCTCCACCTTGAACATCACTTACCATCCTGTCCACCTGGTTTGGTGTTGGCCCACGATTTGGCAACAGGAGCTGCTTCTGGAGGAGCAGGAACAGCAGGTTTTGGCTGTGTCTGCGGCACGTCTGGCTGTCTGGAATTAGAGGAAAAGCACTTGTGAATACAAGAGGGTGAGCACAGAATAAGATTGTCATGATTACTACCGCAAACAAGTGAATTAAATGAGATAGCTATGCAGCTGAAGAACCATTGTTCTGCAGAAAAAGCATTTTCTTAAATAAAAGGAGTTGTTATAGTAACAGTTACAAATTGGAATAAATTAGCTAACTCTTTCAAGAGAAGACTTCCTAAAGTGGAGAGGAATGAATGAAAATGGCTGGGCAGAAAAATGCAGTCAGGTTTGAATAGAGTAACTTCTGAAGTAGCATTTCGGACAATCAAAAAACCGAACTACATCTGTGGAAGGGAATAATCTGGAATAATGGTCTCTTGCCTCAGGAGTTAACAGAGGAAAGCACTTAAAGACCACCATGAACTGAGAGAAAGCAAGCAAATATATGTCAGAAATTACAGAGTACAAGGAAAGAACTGATAAGGAAAGCTAAAGACATCAAGAAAAAAATTTATGGGTACCATGAATTGGAGCCCAGAAGTTTAAGTCTACTAAGAACAAAGTCTCAATTTCACCATCTTCACAATGAAGAGGCAGACATCAGCACTCATTTTGTCCAATATAAAAACCAGGCATATTCTTGAAGATCTTTCTAGTCTACAGATTCATTGTTTAACTTGTTTCAAGAACAGTTATTTCTGAAATCCGCGTATTCAGATAACTTAAGACTCCAAAATATTAGTGTCTACAAGTCAAGACCTCCAGCTCATTAGTAGTAATTTTTGATAAAAACAGGAATTATAGGGCAAATCCACTAGTCTAGAATCACTTTATTATACCAGCAAAGAGATAACTAGTGCAATAACATGTCAGTTAACTTACAATAAACAACTGTAAACGCTTTAAATAGACCCTAAAGTAATCCTAAATTTCTGAGGACTGCTACCAAGAAGTCAGTTCCATTTGGGTTCTGCAGCAATCAACCCAAAGCACTACATGGCAGTCTCAGAACTGACACAGAAGTAAACATCACAAAAAAAAAAAAACTTGCTGGGGAGAAACACACTGGCTTCTTACAAGGATAACCAAATGCAATTTTTATTTGCTTCCACAGATTACCAGGATTTAAAAACAAACAAACCACCCTAATCTTTTCTGTTTCCACTTAGTTGTATTTTCTTACAGCTGCACATTTTCTAAGCAGACCTTGGGGAAGTTGTAACTTACAGGGCTGTACTTTGTCACACACAACTGAAAGAAAGAACAAGACTGTTAAAGAGTTTATTCCTTGCATTTCTATTGTTTCAAAGCCAAGTCCATTTAGAATCTGAGTTACCCAAGCACTGTCCTATAGGTGTGGGTATTGATGAGGGACAAGAACTCAGCTTGGTGCTAGCTGAATTAATCAAATCAATACAGAACAGGCTGCACTATCCAGGAAAAAGGGACTGAGGCAATAACCACAGAAAAAGTGACAACTTGGGAAAGCAGCAGAAAAAAATTTTCTTAATTATTTTCTTAATTCCAGGGAACAACTCACTCATGTGAACTCCAACACAGTCATACAAGAGAAAAAGAATTAAACTAAAGCAAGCTGATATCAAGATGTTACCTTTATCCACAACACTTGAGAGGAATACCAAAACACTTTACATGTAAACTGCAGCATTTATAAGCATGTTGAAATATTGGAGAAATACAGCAGTAGTTACAAAAATGGTCTGAACACTTGAGCAAATGTATTAGATGGTCTGAATTTAGAAGAATTTACTCATGGCCCAGGCATACATACCTGTTCCTGGGAATAAATCCCTCCTCCCCCACCAGTTTTACTTGTATATGGTCTTTAAGGCCTTTATCAGAATAATGCACATGAAAATACAAAGCCAAACACCTTCCAGTTGCAGATAAGGGACAGCTATTTATTTATTTTTACATGCAACATCAACTACTGGAATATACTTCTAACGCAAGCCGCAGGCTATGGAAAGGCAGACAAAGAAGCAGAGAAAGTGTGTTTTAGTCAAAGAAGCTACTGGCTCAATGCAGAGTTAACTAGACAAAGTGTAAGTGATCATGCAGTATAGGAAGATGTTGCTGAAGTACCATACAAAACACTGGACAGAAAATTCTAAGTTTGTAGTTTCATAAGCTTAAAATAAAAAGCTAAGCACAACACTATACTCATATGTCTGACAGCTTTTCTGAGAGATGTTAAAAATTGACGTTTAAATGTAGGAAAGTATACAAGAAATAATAAAGGAACAGCAAGAAGGGGAAGAAACTAATAATTTTTCACTTTCACAAGTGCTAGTGACATACAATCACAGTGCCTCTAACTTCAAGTGTTTTTCAGAACAATTTATATGTCAAAGAATAAACACTTAAAGCCCACTTCTACTTTTGTAATGAGAATTATGTCCTATTTTAAGCCTACATGGCAAAAAATTTGCTTTAAAATACTAGAAAAGTATTAGATATTGAATATCTATAGAAGAAAGTATCAGATATTGAAAAGTTTTAGTGTCTGTTTTCTTTAGCTGACCTCCTGTACAAGCATGAAACAAATGTAGCAGATGAAACTGTACCGAGCATGGGAAATTATATTATACACAGTATACAGCGGGGCATCAACATCACCATCACTTCTATTTTGTTTATATTGCATATTGGGGGAGTGTGGAACAATAGTCTAAAGTTTAAGACAGAAAATTTTTGTAAGTCTGAAGACTTTATGGCATACTAACCAAACAAATTAAAGTGCAAATATTAAGACCGATTAGGAAAATAGAGCAGATAAACAAATCTATGCAAATCATGAATTTTTGAACTTTCTCTGCCATATATCAGCACAATCCCACTAAATTAAACAGATTTTTGCATATTCTCACAAACCTGCAAGTTATTATTTAATTTAGCTGCTGTGTACCTAAGGGTCCCTCCTAGAGTTTCAAGAGCATTTTAAGGTGATTACACTGATCCTACAAAAACACGCTATAGTATTTAACTATTATATAGTATTTAAGTATTAAATAGTATTAAAGTATTAAGTATACATAATATACTATATAGTGTATATAGTATATAAAGTATTATGTATTATATA